TTGACAAGTCGCACAAGTAGTCTCAATTCATGAGAAAGGCAGCCCGACTGATCCAGTCAATTACTTTCTAACTAGTCTGACTGCTACTTCCAGAAAACGGTCAAAACATACATCAGGGAACTTCTTCAAGGCCAAGCATTGTCCTTCGACACTGCTCAAGATGGCTTCAGAGAATGCAAAAGTGCCTCTTGCCAAGCTCTTTGTCTTTCAGAGATTTGTAAATTGTTCTCTCAAAAATACTCAAGTCTACCAGCTCTTTACTTTGTAGGAGTACCAAATGAGCCTCTATACGCTCGCCTCTATCCCAAATCATCTCTATGCAACATACCATTACAAACAATTTACTCCTTCCAATATTCAACCCAAATGTTTCCATTTCTTCTCTGGTTATAAACCCACGCCCATACACACCATTAAGTCAACACTCTCCTCTCTATTCATTTTTTACCCTTGTTCTTTTAGTCTATCTTTAACTTAGTATAGCCATTTCTATGAATTGATCGAGTCCTAGCAGTCAAAGGCCACATTGGGCCATGTGCTCAAAAGAAGCTTTTCCATGAAATTAATAAGTTAACAAACTTTAGTTATGAACTTGACAAAACCAATATCAATGCGCAAGTACTCTATTTGTGTCAACAGAAAACATTTTTGGAAAACAATTACTTTCAGCTTAAGAAAATACACTCTCACCACAACATTTCCCTTCTATCGTCTACGCTTTAATGTCTTTAACTTTAAGAGAATTAGATTAAATTAAGAAAAAAATGATAAAAATGATAAAGTCTTGTCAAAATACAGCCAAAAAACTAACAAAGAATTATTTTCTATAAGTCTACTACATTAAGGAGCAAATTGATTTTGAACATCCAAAACACATACGTTTTTTCTGTCATTCTGCTCGTCTATGCCCATTCATGATCACCCAGGGTCATCCATGATTACGTATGCTCACTCATGATCGCACGTGTTCATTCATGCTCACCCATACTATTTCTTGCTAACTTATTAATGTCAAAATAAGAATGAAAAGATCAGGATCAAACAAAGAATGCGGTTTACTGAGTCAACAACAGATTCATATGTATAGATGAATTGTCAGGGTTCAGCATAATTTTCAAGAAACTTTATTTCACAAATAGTAGAATTGGTCCAGATAATTTACTAACTACTGCTGTACAAGGATCTGCATTAGATGAGCCAGTCGATCTCCAATCAGTTCAGTGTGATTGACAGGTTGATACCTATTATTTTCTATCTACTTTAAAACATTTTATCAATAAGGAAATGACCGCTTAATTAGATGTAGAACATTTGTTAGTTGATGTTTGCCCATTAGAGTAATTGTGTCAAATCATGCAAATAAAACTGTACTTTTTGAGTTGAATGTATCCTGACTATAGATAAAGCAATTAATAGAAATTAGAGCTGTGAATATAGGTAATATATAGTCATCTGAACCAGATTTAATGCATCATACAATTTTCCAATACTTTGACACTCTTATGAGCACATATCAGTTTTTTATTTATTTATTTATGTATTTAGGTGAAGCAGGTGTTTTATTTTATCAGGGCATTCCATTCAAATAAGCTACTTGATAGTACATATCTTATTCATGTATTAAAGACTCTAGACAAATAAACGCTTTAGCAGTAGAAAAAGAAAAAAAGATAGCAATTCATGCAGACCTTGTTCTTTTTCTTAGGCAAATGAAGGTGCTTTAAGACCTGTTTATGCACGCATAAATACGTTAGGTACCTAGAAACAATTTTTAATCATATAAACGGTGCCTTTGGAGTTGTTTTAGACAGAAACACTACTTTAAAATATAACAAAAAATATTTTTTCGAGTATACAAATGGCATACTTGTAAGTCGGCATAAATTTTAGCGAAATTTAAATGTTTTGTAAATCCATTGTATTCATGAAAAGTTCCTGACATCTAAGGCTCTTACTGTGATTTTGTTTATGGCTGTGGCTTTGATTTTTATATACATGCCAGAAGCTTTAATTCCCACTTGGATTTTCATATTTCTGATCTGTGTTGGCGTTGGCCATACATGCCTCGCTATTGACGACTCGCACAAGTAGCCCCAATTCATGAGAAGGGCTACCCGACTGATCCAGTCAATTACTACCTAACCGCTCTGAATACTACTTCCAGAAAGACGCTTGAAATGTGCATCAGAAACTCTTCCGAAGCCAAGCATCGTCCTTAGACACTGCTCAAGGTGGCTTTAGAGAATGCAAAAGTGCCCTTGACCAAGCTCTTTGTCTTTCAGAGGATTGAAAATTGCTTGCTTACATAAATACTTAAGACTGCACGCTCTGCACTTTATTGGAGTACCAAATGAACCTCTATACATTTGCTTTTATCCCAAAGCACCTCCATGTAACATGTTATCACAAATAACCTACTCCCTCCAATGTCCAACCAAATGTTTCCATCTCGTCTCTGATTACAAATCCGCGCCCAGACACATCATTAGATTAACACTTTCCTCTCTCTTCCTTTTTTTGGCCTTATTCTCTCAAAGCAATTTTGGCTTAGCATAGTCATTTTTATGAATTTATCAAGTACAAACAGTCAAAGACTACATTGGGCTATGTATTCAAAAGGACCTTTTCTATACAACTAACAAATCAACAAACTTTGAGTATTAATTTGTCAAATTAATACCAATGTGCAAGTGTGCTATTAGTATCAACAGAGAAACATCTCTGGAAAACAATTATTTTTAGGTAAAGAAAACACACTCTCACCACAGCGTAAGCGATTGCATTCTTCCATCGATGGAAGAAATCTTTCATTTTTGAGTGAAAATTTGGCCAAGGTTTTCCTTTAGTGAGTGAAGAATTCTTTCACTTTTGATCTTTAATTTTAAAGAAATCAGGTTAAGAAAAAAGAAAAAAGCAAAGATTGTTGTCAAATTTTTGACAAAAAATTCGATAAAATTTGCATAAATTTACAAAAAAAAAAAAAAAAAAAAAAAAAGAAAAAAAAAAAAAAAAAAAACTAAGAATTTTTTTTATAAATCCATTACACTAAGGAGCAAATTAATTTGGAAATCCAAAACACATACACTTTTTCTATTATTTTGCTCATCCGTACTATTCCTTACTATTCATCAATATCAAAATAAGAACGATTAAATCAAAATTAAACAAAAAATCTTGTTTATTGAGTCAAAAATAGGTTTATACTTATGGACAAGTGCTCAAAATAATTTGTAAAAGCCTTCATTCCATACAGGAGTCTTAGATAGTACAGTTGGTCCAGATAGTTTACTGGCTACTGCTGTACAAGATTCTATATTAGATGAATCAATCAATCTCCAATTTGTTCAGTGTGACTGACTGGTTGGTATCTAAGGCTTTTTACCTAAAGTAAAACATTTTTATCAATAAGATAATGGCTGTATAATCAGATGCAAATCATTCCTTGTCAGACACTTCTCCATTGAAGTTACTGTATCAAAACATGCAAATAGCATTGTAGCTTCTGAACTGAATGTATTTTAGCTATGAATATATTGTGATTTTTACCAGATTTAATGCATCATAAAAGTTTCTAACACTTTGATATTTTGATGAGCAAACATCTTCTCTTTTCTGACCAAGGCGAACTAAGTGTTTTTATCAAGATATTCTATTTAAATGAGCTGCTTGATGATACATAACTTACTTATGTAACAAAAGCTCTAGACAAATAAACGCTTCATAAAAAAAGAGAGAATTGAGACAGATCTTGTTCTTTTTTCCAGACATACAAAGGTAGTATAAAGCCTGCTTATATACACATAAATGCTCTAAATGCCTATAAATCATATCTACTAACATCTATGGTACCTTGAGAATCGATTGGGGCCAAAAAAAAAGCAACTTGCAAAAAATGGCCATTTTGGCCTCTGATCTAAAGGGTACTAGTCGTGAAAATATTGAACCTGACAGCTCTTTGATTTTCTTTTGGACGCTACAAGGCAGAAAACAGAGCTATAAACAAGCTCAAATACTCAAGATGCGCGTCAGAGACTGTAGTTTTTGGTGAATGTGTTTGTTTGATAGCTGTACTATAAAAATGAGGAGATATGAATGAAAAAACCTCGAAATTGTTTTTGCCTATTTACTCAACATGTTAGCAGCAGAGTTGTTACGTTCTATACATCAATCAGCTCAGAAAGCAAAGATCTACAACTTTTGTTACTGTATCAAAGCCATACAACTGCATCTTTATGCAGTTCCCAGCAAAAGCTCGATTTGAGAAAGCGGCGGGATGAAGGATTGGGATTTCCCTATTTCAATCTTCGCACGCTGCCACCCTGTATGTCCTATGTCTATTCACTCCCACACTTACAATATTAGATGCTTATGTTTCTATTTTCTCATGTTCTTTGGCAACCAAAATAACATGAAATACTTTAGAAAGACCAATTGCTAGCACATTTTATACAACCAGAGCAAAAATGCATAAAGCACTGCCTAAAGAAGCTAATCTTCGATACACCATTTCTCGACAACTAGGTTATCAAAATGATTCGCTTTTTCATTTAAAACATGCTTTCTTGAGCCAAGGAGTTGAGTGGTACCACTGGTTTGACTGTTGGGTGAAATTTAAAATGACCTAATATAGGTCTGATCCAACCGGAATGAGGTGAGGCCATGTCCAAGTACTTCTCTCAAAAAGAACACGAGTCTACTAAGATGAAAACATTGATTCGATTTGAGTATTGACCCCAAATCTGGATTCAAAGTTCGTTGTGCACTGAAATCAGTACAAAAGAAGCCATTTTCAATAACAAATAATCACTGATACATAATAAATATCTCCAAACATATTCCCTTCCAACAGAATGATTTACTTCTATGATACAAAATAGGCTCTTTCGAGTTTATAAGCGAATGTATCAACTTTGTTTCCACCAATGAGTGGCAATGAAACAAATCTTTCATGCTTGTTTCGAAAACAAAAAAAAAAGAAGTATAGGTCGCTCTTTCTTCATTGATAAAGTAGAGTAGATACATTTTTTGCTACTTATTCATTTATTTGATGAAGCACCCATTTGCCCTTATTTGACATGTAAGTATTCGATTTCAAGATCAGATAACTTTTTCTCTCTCTCTCTTTTTTATGCTTTTAAATAAACTCAAAGAATATTGGGCACTAAGAAGAGGCGAAAAAGTCTATTTTGACCCCAAAAAACGCGTCAAAGTGATACGCGCCATACAGAAATACACACCTATCTTAAGGTATGTTTATATACATACAACAATACACTTATGTTATCAGTGTGGTGCTTTTCTTTATAGGTATTGTGTGGATCTTGATATTGCCTTATGAAGGATACAGCAAAAGAACCTATATATCAGAAAACGCTTTACTACCTGGACAAGTAAGAACATCTTATAATAACACATACGCACGATTGAATTGATGTATAGACCAATCTTGATTATGGTTTCAACGATGTGCATACAGCAGAATACTATCGACAATTACTTTTGGATATTCAAGAAAAAGACAGTCAAACGTATAGATACATATAATAACATTGAATTGCATTGACTTATGCCATGTAGACGAGCTCAATTTGTTCATAATGAATTCAGAAAGACTGGATTTACTTCTGTTATGCAACCATTTGTGATTGAAGGAAAAGAAAACAAAAAGGTAATTGAAGAGCAAGACAACACACAGCTTATTCTTTTAGGGAGTCAATGCATTTGCTATCAATAGAGCACCACGAAGTGACGGAAAAGAAGCATTGATCTTGAGTGCATCATGGAAATCAAGAACGGGAGAATGTAGGTCGAATAGTTGGTTTGCAATTTCACTTATTATCTAGACAACACCAATGGTATTGCTGCCCTTTTATCGCTTGCGAAACTGTTTAAAAGAAATGTCTATTGGGCAAAAGATGTGATTTTGCTAGTGACAGATCATGGCAAGTTTGGAACACAAGCATGGCTGGATGCTTATCATGGTACACTGGAGCATGGTAATTTAAATAGTCATCAACATACATTCATTTTGTCTTCTCAGATGTAGTGATGCCTAGATCAGGTGCCATTCAAGGTGTAGTTCATTTAGACTTTCCAGGCACACAAGACTATGAAAGCCTAGGCGTCTTTTTTGGTAAGCGCTTATTCAGGCACATTAACATAGCTCATCAAAGGAACATTAGAGGGTGTCAATGGTCAATTACCCAATTTAGACTTGATCAATACCATTGTTGCAGTTGCTTCAACAGCGCATCCGCCAATTGATATTACCTTGCATAACAATAACAAAAACCCCTATCAAGGTTCTCCTTATAGTCAGTATTTAGACTCCTTGAATCATATGCTTCAGAGCATGAAGTATTTAGTCTTAGGACACCCTTCAAGTGAAGCTGGTCTCTATCTTCGGTAAGCAGCCCATTATGTGCTTTCATTTTTTTTAAAAAAAAAATGATTTTATAGTTATACCATTGATGCTGTCACTATTCATGGTATTGTTGGACATGAAAACTTACATCAATTATTTGGATTTGGACGTATTGGCAGGTAAAAGACATACAAAGGCAACAAATGATTGATCATAAGTTAGATTGGTTGAATCTACATTCCGTAGTCTAAATAACCTATTGGAGCATTTTCATCAATCCTTCTTTTTCTACCTGTTACCACAGCCAAATCGTTATGTGTCCATCAGTCAATATATGCCTCCTATTATTCTTTTTGCTTGTGCCCTTATATTTCAATCACTCTCGCTGTATTATGTCGGCACAAAAGAGCCTGTTATGCCAGCAGACAAACAAGCACTACCTGCTTATTCTATTGAAAAGCGTCATACTCTCTTTGGTTTCCGTATTTTGATCTTGACGCATGTTGCTGGTCTTGTTATCTTTAACATGATACAGCCTCATTTCGGATGGAAATATCTCGATCGTTTTGAACAACAGGAGGTAAGTCAGGATGTGTAACAATAAGTAAATTGAATTAAGAATAGATGATATTAATTCAATACGGAGCATCTGAATTGATTGCATTGGCAACTGTTGTCATGGCTGTTGCATGGATCAGTACATCATCATTGGCTGAACACGACGGAACGATCCTTAAATCTTTCTGTCTTGCTGAAAGTGCATTAGTGATTGCCACCGTCTCTCTCCTGAATTTCAGTTTGGGAGTCATGACGGCTGTCTTGATCTTGATACCTTATAGTTTTGTCCAGCCCACGTCAAACAAGCTTTTTCAAGTGGCTCAGACTATCTTGTTGGCCTTGCTCTCTCCTGCTGGTCTTGCTGGTCTATTTGTCTATATCACTGACATGTATTTGGTTGATGTCTTACAGATCTTATTGTCTGATTATCAAGTGGTTCGATCATGGCTTTTGACTTTTGTTTGCACTGTCTATTGGCCTATCAATATGGCCATGATGATTTTAGTATTCACCAATGCTACATCTTGATATAAACTATATACATGGTTTTTATTATTATTAAACAAGGAGTGAAAAAAAGGGGAGGAAATATACAGTAAGATCGAAGAAAAAAATTTTTTTTATACAAATGGCTTTTGAGCAATAATACAATGCCAATTAACAAACGTGCGAGCACGCTTCCATTCTGCTGGTAAACCTGCAATATACTCATCGTATTTTTCAGAACTCAAGTTCATCTCATGAGATAACCAAGGTTTGAGTGATTTTAACATAAATAGGTACTGACTAGACATGGCCCTAGCAAATTCGGAACAATGTTGCTTATTGTCAACACGAGCGGTTGTTTCTTGAGACATGGCACTGCCATTACTTGCGCGTTTTCTTGTTTCTGCAGAGGATATAGAAGAACAAGAGGAACTATGGAAAGAACCCCAACCAAGAGGAAGCATTTGAGCAATATCTTCTACTCGTCGGAATCCATTGATGGCAAACATCGTAGGCAATCGATGGACAGCATAAGGATCTTGTTGACGCATTGTTAAGCCAGATATTACTATAGATAGAGTGAGTATATGGAGCTCGTATAAATCTATAAGCTAACTTACACTTGTCATTCATGGCGCATTCATGCTCTAGGCTATTTTGTGTTTCGAGATCAGGTTCAACACATTCAATCCATCCACCAGGCTTCAAGATACGTTGATATTCAAGTAACAAAGGCTGCCATGTTTGTCCTTTAAGTCCCCAGTTCAGGTCTCTTTGATAGATGTAGTCAATACTGTTATCAGGGAAGGGTAAAATCAATGCTTCTGGTTGTCCTACAAGTGTACCGCATGTTCTAAAATGGCAATTGCGTGGCTTAATGTCTTTGGGATAGAAGGCTTCTTGATCAATGCCAATAAATGTCGATTTAGGAAACGCTGTGCTCATTTCCATGGTCCATGTACCGGGTCCACAACCAACATCCAGGACTACAATACCCTTTTCAAGTTGAGTACGAATAGGCGACTTAAAATCTGATCCGAAAGCAGTGCGTAATAAGTAGTGTTGTGCTACCATACGATCTTGCTCGTTATTGTCTTGTGTCAAAACATATGACATGGTTTTCATTGGCACCGGACGAGGTTTCTTGACACTTTTGAGTTTCTTGATGGGTTGTTCTTTTTTTGTCTTGGGATACATGAGTTTGTTGAGACGAGAAGAGGGTTGTGGAGTGGGCGCAGGCATCAAGAGGTGCTCATTGGCTCTTTGCATTTCAAGTTGTTGGCGTTTATATAAGCGTTGATCCATGATTTTAATTAAGATTTCTGCACTCAATGGTCGTTTAGGACGTTGTGTTGATTTAGGCATCTGAATAGCAGAATCAGATAAGACAGAAGAAGAATTGGTAGTTGTAGATGATGCGGATGGACTCAGTGAAGGAGGCATGTTGTATGTCTTTGTCTGATGGCAAGTCTTTGGTACTCGGTGTTTCCAACTGTTTTCTGTCACCATGTCAGATGTATATAAAGGACGAATGTTACGTTTAGATAAAGACCTTTTTCTCAATATCTTTTCAAAGAAAGAAGGGTTTTCAAATAAAGAAGTGGTGTTTGTTCCAATCATGATAACAAAGAAGAGAGAAAAACAAAAAACAAAACGAAAATGCCAAACTTTATATATTCGTATATTAAGCACCCCCCATTACGCCCTTTTTACCCCGAGTCTCCTTTTCTTCTAAAATAAGCTCCTGTAAAGTGATGCACCCCCCCCTCCTTTAACAATATCCGGACCGTTCACATGGTTTGAGTTGTCATGATCATCGAGTAAGATCTGATATGGAAAGTCTTACAAGGACTTGAATGAGGCCGTGCAGGCTTGATTTTTTGACTTTTATGGAAACGAACAAGGTTGCAGCCAAGTTGTTTGTAAATAAATCGGATCATGATCTTAATAAGAGAGAAAGAAAAAAGGGAGAGTCGCATGCACTACGCATGATGAATAAAAATGGCGATAATCTATTGTCGCTCATACCTTCTGTGTTACCGTGGAAGGTTAGGTCGAATGTATGGCTATCACACGTCTATTTAAATCGAGAGTACAAAACATAATCCAACTTACCTGGCATAAACTTATTGCGACATCTTCTTTTAAGAGTCGTTCGCGTAATGTCAACGTAATGTGTTCCATGGCCTCCAATGTATTAGATGTGCCTAGTTGAGAACGAAGATCTGTATGCACGCGAAAGGCTTGATGGAACAGTTTAAATAGATGGCTTTTGATAACGGGTGGTCTTGTTATTGGGTCCAGTTGCTTACAGATTTCAAGATATTCAAGCGCAACGTCATACGCTTTAGGTGGCATGATTTGTCCTGGCTGAAATAATGTAGGATTGTATAACACGCCTTCGGCACTCATCACCCCATCCACGCCTGTCTGCTCAAAACATGTCTGCAGATCATCGTGATATAGAATATTGCCATTGGCTATCACAGGTATATTGACTGCATCTTTTACAGCTTTGATTTTGGTCCAATCAGCGAGGCCGGTATGATGCCCTTTTTGTTCTCGTCGTCTGCCGTGCACAGTGATCAATTGAGCGCCGGCTTCTACCAACATATGAGCATAATCCACTGTCTTGGATACACTTTCAAATACTCTGATCTTGGCTGTCACAGGCACCATGAGTTCTCTGTCCAGCGTAGAAATTAATTTGTAGATCAATTCCCAGTCATCCTGCAAAAAGGAGCCATAGCGTCCCTTTTTGGCAATGTGCTGTGGACAGCCTAAATTAAGATCCACAGCTTCACAGTCATGTTCTACCATTTTGGCTGCTCTTGTCAAAATATCAGGGTCATTGGCACAAAACTCTTGAGTCTAAGCATAGGTATTCATCAATGTTACTTACTTGGACAATCAGAGGCCGGTCTTCAGGATGAATGGACCATTGATCAAGACGATACTTGGGTCCTCCTATAGGGTCACTAAAGAGTTTGGCATGGAACATGGGTGTGTAGCACAAATGAGCATTGTATCTTCTACAAAGCATACGCCAAGCTAATTCACTTTGCTCAACCATGGGTCCTACAATGTATTTAGGTGAACCAAGTATTTTAGTATAAAACTCATATCCTTTGGGTTTGGATAGAATAGGTCTCATAATTGAAAGAGAGAGAGAGAGAGAGAGAGAGAGAGAAAAAAAGAAATGCCAAAACATAAGCCACCATGGAATTCACTCTTTATGCAAATCTTTCAATGGCCGCCTCGACGCGTTTCTTTTTCTCTCTCTTTTTTTTTCTTTTATGGACTCAACAAAAGAAGAACCTGTTCAACCTACTTTAGAAGAAGACACTACGTCTGAGGAACAAGGTACTGAAGCACAAAAGACCTTGGACGCACTTGAAGCTATACCCGAAGTTATGGAAAAGGTATTTCATAAACACAAACAACTCGACTTATTTTTCTATAGCTTGCAGACGATAATACACAATATGATTTGCATGTACAACTAATTGATCTTTTAAAAAAAGCGGGCCTTCAGGATGAACTTGAACAGGCTCGGATGAATATGCATGATATTTATCCTATGAGTGAAGGTAAGCTATATCCTGTATGATTCATGTTCATGTATCATGTTAGCTTTATGGTTGGATTGGATACAAGACACGAAAAAAGAAGCAAACACAGTAGAAGGAAAGACAAAACTATTCCAATTGCACAGCTTAGCACAAGAAGACTATGTGTGTAAGTAAGATGGATAAACATGGACAGCTGTTGATTTTCTTGATAGCCATCACAATTTGGAAAGATTATGTTGATTTTGTTCTTGAGGATTTCTATCAAGGGTTCACAGATGATATCACAACACTTGACGAAACAGTAGAAGACTATATTGATAACATACGTCAAGATCTCTTGACAGCCGTCAGAGCCACATCTTCCCATGTCAAGCAAAGTCAAATGGTTTGGAAACCTTATTCTGAATTTGAGCTCTCTATTCTCGAGCGATTTAAGCAAGATGAAGACCAACTACGTCGTGTCAAAAAGATGTATCTAGATCGATTGGCTGTACTTCACATTGACTGTGAAGATACATTTCAAGCTTATTCTAGTTTTGTAACCCAGTATCATAATCAAGAGTACGAAGCAAGTATGGTAGAAGCCAATAAGATTTATGCCAAGATCAAGAAAGCAGCAGAAGAAAGAGATTATTACGAATTGCAGTTGACATCCACAGGTTATGCTTTGGACGCATTTTATCAATACATTGACTATGAATTGACGACCAAGAACATGTTTGCATTAAACCATGTTCGATCTCTTTATGAAAGAGCCATTGTGTACTATTGTACAGATCCTAGTTTATGGGATGATTACATTTTATTCTTGGTAAATCCTGTTCTATAGCGTATCATGACTAAGGCAATCATTAGATTGAGCGTGCTAGAATACAAGCTTATCTAGAGACAACATGTACAAGAGCAGTGCGTAATTGTCCCTGGTCTGGTATATTATGGGCTCATTTAGCAAGAACGTATGAATCAGGCAATAAATCCACAGACCAAATACAGAGTAAGTTCCTGTGTTAATGCTAACAAAACCATCTAACATCGCTAGATATATTTGATCGTGCCCTAGCCTCGAAACCGGTTTTATCAAGCATAGAAGACTTGGTGACTGTCTTGTTGGCTAAATGTGATTATGCCAGAAGAAAGATCGATTGGGAAGACTGTAGGTTGTTGGATGTTGATGATGTTACTCACACTTTGTTTAGTGGACGAAGAAGCCATTATCGATTTAAAAGTAGCCTTTGAAGAAAGTTTAGAATATGTGACAGAAGGTAGAATACAAGTGTAACCCTTGATCTAACTTTATTATTAGCGTTTCCTGATTCAGGAGACCCATATTATCGGATCGAAAAATACTATGCTTTTATTTCGCTCAAGCGATTTGGGGATGTAGAGAAAGCAAGAGAACTCTGGGAAGATGTGGTTGACCGACATGGTTTAGATACAGAAGCATGGATTCAGTTTATTCAGTTTGAACGGTAAAGAAGTCCCGTCTTTTATCATCTCATTAAATTTCATTTAGTGATCAAGGCAATTATGAACGTTGTACAAGCTTATTTAAACAGGCAATACAAAAGAAAATTGATAATCCTGCACGACTGATGGATATATGGAGTACAATCGAACATGAAATTGGCACATTAGGGTCATATGAAGAGGCGCTCGTTCGCATCAATCGTAAACAAAAGATTCTCTCAAGACAATGGCAGTCACAGTATGTCAAGGAAGAAGATACACAAGAAAAGAAGATTATGGATAGAGTAAGTGATATATGTATATTTGTATCTTATACCTTGATAGAAAAAGAAGAGTGCGCATCGAATTGCTCAAAAACAAAGAGCAAAAGAGAAAAAGCAAAGTGAATTCAAGAAGCCCATTGAAAAAGTACTCAAGAAACAAGCAAAGCCAGAACAACTAGAACAACAAGTGACAGAACAACCAACAGTCAATCCTCTCAAGAGAAAACTGTCTGCAGAAGATGAAAGCGAAACCAAGAAATCGAAATTGAATGAAGGTGAAAATGAATTTGAGAAGTCAAAACTGAATGAAGGTGAAAATGAATTCGAGAAGTCAAAACTGAATGAACCCCCCAAACCTTCATTTCAACCAAGACCTCGTTCGACCAGACCGAATACAAACATCAGAAGAGGAAAATCACTTAAATTAGGTCAAAGATCAGTCAATCGAAATGATGTTGAGAAACTTCATTCTGATAAAAAACAAGATACAGGTGACAGCAAGAGTAATGATGATTTCCGTGCCATGTTATTAGGCAAGAAATAAAAATTTTTCTTCTTCTTTTTATATATATATATATATATGAGCCAAAAAGATATTGAGAGTGTGTTTGTGAAATACGTGAAAGAATATCAAGGTAGAAAAAGCTTTCTTTTCAAAAATAACACTCAATATGTTTAGATATCAATGGTACTCATATTCATATTTATGAAAGCCCTCCTTCTGCTTTAGAGTTTTTAAGAACTTCAGTTCACCCAAATAGACCAGCTATTATCAAAGGTAAAAACCATACACACAGAAGGGCTACTTAGACAAAGTATAGGTGCCTTTGATCACTGGCCAGCAAGAACACAATGGACAAACGAGTATTTGAGATCCAAGATGGGCGAAGCTACTGTAACAGTTGCAAGTAAAGTACACTCACATACTATGGACACCTGACAGTTCGGTTAGTTACACCCAATGGATATGCGGATGCAGTGACTTTTGATCCAGTCACGAACAAAGAGTATTTCGCTATGCCTTATGAAGCACACATGACATTCAATGGCTTTTTAGATATCATGGAAGGCAAAGTCATATCCGACCATGCTCATTATATCAGTCTACAAAATTCTAGTCTTTCTATCGAATATAGTGCATTAGAAAAAGACGTGGACGAGGATATTCGCTGGTGTAGTGAGGCATTAGGGAAGCAACCGGATGCAGTCAATTTCTGGTTTGGTGATGAAAAAAGTACTACTTCTTTACATAAAGATCCATACGAGAATTGCTATGCTGTCATTCGTGGACAAAAGACGTTTATACTCTATCCTCCTTCAGAATACTATTGCATGCATGGTACATATCTGTCAATTGGCGTGTATATCTCTAATACCTCTTTAGAATCCATGTATCGAAATGCTATCTATGAACCCAATGAAGCAAACATACTCGAATTAAAACCTCTTGAGTCAAAAACACCATGGATCCCTGTCAATCCCTTAGAGCCTGATTTAGACCGATTTCCTCGTTTTGCTTATGCATGTCCCATCACAATCACAGTAGAAGAAGGCGACATGTTGTATTTACCAGCATTATGGTTTCACCAGGTATTACAACAAGGTTCAGAAGGTGTGATTGCTATCAATTATTGGTATGATATGGACTATAGGAACATACTATATCCTACAATTGGGCTTCACAGAAGATGGATGACAGGCATTATAGAAAACAATCGTGCATTATTAGACGAAGAAGAAGAGGAAGAATAAATTTATTGAAGTTCTAAAACACAATCATGCCAAGGTTCAGGACCATGAACAACTTTACTAACACCTACTTCTTTAAATCCAACACCACCATAAAGACCAAGAAGATTAGGTCGACTCATAAGAACAACACGGTCGTATTTCTTGGCTTGTTGGTTGGCTTGTTTTAATTGTTCAATCCAGTTTTCTAACAGTTTGGTAGCAATACCTTGGTTACGGTAGTCAGGAGAGACACAGACACTATGGAGACAGACAGTTCTACCGTTAGGTTCATGACGACTCATAGACTCGTCTGTCACCAAGTCAGCCGTCGTGAGTGTGGTACAGAGAAATCCCACTACTTTGCCGTTCTGATCCATATCACGCGCCACAGTGAATAATTCAGGCCCTGATTCAGCAGCATAGTGAATACGACGCGCTAATTGTTCTCTACTGGCAGCTTCTTCAGGATGATAAGATGCTGTTTCGTATTCAGTCACGATGTCTAAGTCGTCAGGTGTAACAGCTGTAAACTTGAGGTTCATTTTTTTTAAAAAAAGAAAGAAAGAGAGAAAAAAGAGACAATGTATGTCTGACAGTGAAAAATAGATGCTAGAGTCATTTTTACTCATGTTCTATGATATTCCAACAGTGATTTCATTTTCACTTGTTATTGAAATATACATCAAACTCATTTTGGAAATGGATATGCAGTTTTTAGAATAAAGTTCAAAATGATAGTTTGACAAGCATCAACATGAGAGGGAGTTCTTTTTTATTCCAGATAACAAAGAAAATTAGGAGAATAATATGTAAGGGTTTTAGTTGGGACACCAGGTCACAGTGTAAGAAGGAGCTCTGCATTGATAAAGACTAGTATCATCATCGTAAGCAAAACTGTAGGCATCAGGACAGCCATGCTTGACAGCAGAAGCATACTTATTAATAGGACATGTAGCAGCAGTAGCATGAGCACCAGTACAACAGTACTCAGAGGTACCAAACTTGGAACAAGCACTTAAACAGCCAATATAAGTATCATTTTCAGTCATTTGCAATTCAGAAGGGCAAGAAGGAACAGCCTTGCAGGCAGGAGCACCACACCAATATTTACCGCTCTCAAGAGGGTTTGTGGATGTTGTGTTAGGATGAACAGGTGTAATACTGAGAGGTAAGTTGTAGCCATCTACAAAGGACAAGTCATAGAAATCTTTACCATCAGCACCATGAAAAGTGAATTCAGCTAATGAAGCAGGGTAAGCAGCACCAGCAATTTGGCAGCCAGAGCCTTGGCAGTCTTCGCGAGCCCAGTAACGACCAGACCACATACCTTCGTAAGTGAATGTTTTTGAGGAACCAGGAACCATGGGCATGGGATCAGAAAAAGCAGAAGTGGTACTCAACGTACTGAGTTGAATGGTTTTGGCACAGTTATTGACAATCTTGACAGTGGTTGTGAGGCCATTGTCACGTCTGTAGACAGAAGGAGCAGCCGTAGCCAAGCCAATAACAAAAAAAAGACAGAATTGGATCAATTGCATTGTTTTTGTTTCTTATTGTGCGTCTATCTTTTCCGCCTACTCTTTTTATATCTTTTTTTTTTTTTGACAAGTTCCCCTTGATTTTCTGGAAAAGATCGAGTCCCTTATTTTACAACTCAATCTTATGTTAGTCTGGTAAACAGGTCCCTTTTTTTTTTTTGAAGGTACTTTATGAATGGATTTGTTTAAAATTAATATACAAACAATTTTTTTTCTCTTTCTTTACTTTACACAACAATAAACAACAAAAATTTTGGCATTGTACTTTAAATTCATATTTTTCTTTCTTTTTCTTCTTGTTCTATACATCTTAATTGATGTCAAGGTCATCAAAGTGATATTCAAAAAGTACCCTATTCCAAAAAGACTAGTGACATTGTGTAACTGTGTAGCACTTTTTTTTTTAAAAAAAAAACTTAATGTCTCAGCAAATGGAAACACAATAGGGACCAGTCGTTGCATTGACCTACTTTTCTTGTTTTTTTTCGCAGCCATAAAAGAAAAGCTTATTTGATTCTGAAAAAACCTCGAATTTAGCACTATTGAAAGATTATATGAAGCATGAAAATAGAAGATTTCACTTTTTTGCTAGATAAAAATAAACGCCAGAGGCATTGATTTGAAATCAAAATAGTACAAGTTACCCCGGCTAAAGTAATGAATGCAAGGCAACATATGTCGAAATAGCTTATTTTCTATAAAAAATTTTTTTTTGCCATTGTTCCTTTGTAAAGTGAAACATGGTTAAAAGTTCAAGAAGCTTACAAATACATTTTTTTTTTTTACTTTCTTTTGCTTACTGCAATTCGCGAATGGCTAAAATACAAGCAAAAGACAATTCACATCAGCGCATCAGAATGAAAAAAAAAAAAAGGAAAGAGTTTAACAAACAAAATGGGATACTTTCTCTGTTATAAAATTTTGACGTGTGATCTCCGACTGATTTTGTATATCGGCAAAAGATCTTCCGTATATATATTTCAAAATGCGTTTATTGATCCACAGCAATCGTAGGTCTTGATTCTTTCAAGACAATCTTTATCCTACGTACTTCTCCATCCGGTCCTACTAATAAACAGCTCGACAGTCCATCATGCTGATGAGGATCATTTTTTCTTTTTCTTCTGTCTGCACTGACCATGCTGCTGCCTAAAGGTTCTCTACCACAAGGCACAAGATGCCACTCCGATCCAACATGATAGGCGCCTATTTGTTTCCCATGTCGCATCTGAAAGACTTTGACAATACCCCGTTTGGGCGTATAGATCACCAAAAACAACAAGACTTTTGGCACACGCGCTGGTTCTAATCCATACAACTGATGCTCAAACACTTCTACCCATCCACACACAGCGTCGCGCACACCTTTCCACATACGAATCATTTCACCTTCCACAACATCCCAGAGGATGACTCGGCCAAGCGCATCTGAGGTAGCCGCGAGTGTCTGGTGTTGTGAGCTAGTGGAAGGCGGGGAAATAGAAATGTGGTTGATTTTTCGATAGGCATCATCGACTGATAACAGGACTGGAATGGGTGTAGCAGGTTCAATATGACTTGGGGGTCTACGCATCTCAGGTACATAGGGTGTAGGTGCTTTTTGTGACTCTTGTTCTTGTTGACCGCCCCACCATGATTTGGCAAACGAAAAGACAGGTAAAGTAACACGGGATACAACATAACTGGCCATAGAAGCAGCCGACATGAAAGGTCGTGTGGATTCGGATGTGGCATAAAACGTCAGCATGGGATGTGCACCTACGCCAATGTATCTTGACGTGGCTGCTTTTGGAGGAAAATTATTTGAGGTGGATATAGTGGTGGATGGATCCAGGTAAGGTGTCTGTGAATAGGTAGGAGAGGGACCTAAACTGACAATATCCTTGACTTGATCTTGGTGCTGCAAATCCCATTTCTTGTAGGTGAAAGCAGTATGCATTCGAGAAGCATCAATCCCACTTTCTCGTTGTCCATCGCATACTCTTAATACCATCCAAAGACTCTGTCCATCAATACTCACGACCTTATTGCCTTCAAACAGGATAGTGATGTCTTCGTCTTCATTTAAGGGTGGATGACGTGCTACTCTAAACACAGGGGGTGGTGTTCTCATCTTGATCCTTAGGACTGGTGTTGTTTCTAATTGCTGTTCTGTCAATAAAACACCCGCCTAGCGCCCAATGGATATCAGTTGTTGATCTAGAATTATTTACTTGCCTCTGAAAATACACGTATCCATCCTGTATTGTATCCACACATCACATAATGTTGACTACAAACTCTTTCAATCTTTTTTTTTTTTTTTTTGGTTTTCTTGTAGTGGACTTACGTTGAACGCGTAGAGGGAACAAACAAGGGCAAGCATAAAACACAGGTGATTTCTTCACTTCAATCATGTCAATTAAAAAAGAAATAGCTCAAACTACAGCTTACTTGGGTTGTTGGCAGCCTGAACCTTGTCCTAAGGCCATATATTCTCTCTCACTATTTAACTGTACCATAACAAATTTGGCCTTATAGGCTAGTACGAGGCTATGTCCGTCTGCAGAAGCAGCTATGATAATTTTGGTACTATCTGGTATGTTGGGAGAAGGGGAGCGTGTTGAAGGTGTGGGTTCTTCGTCTATTTCATCTTTAAATACTTTATTCCAGCCGTCTGTCGATATGAGTTGATATCTATCCATGAGCCTTTATTATTACCTTCTCTTGGTGTCTTAATCATCTGTGCGTCTTCAAGTATACTTTCATCAGTTACATCCTCAATAGAACTCGTTACTTGAGGCAGATTACCCACAAGAATAGACAAGACCGGTGAAGGGATCCGGTAATGATGTTCTAGTACAGATCTTATTCTCTTAGACATATTATGCATGTAAATAAAAAAATAAAAAATAAAAATAAAAATACGACACACACACCTACAGTGATGTGTAACACAGCGCATGATAGGGCTATTTTTTCATCATTATTGAGACAAAAGGGGGGGGGAAGTGTCTGTGAGCTTTATGCAGCCATCATGGATCTGGCTGCATGAATCTATTTTATTCAGTAAAAGAAAAGATCTTTTTTTTTAGTGTCTTTTGTTGTTTTTAGTAAAGTATGAGGAATGGTTTAGATAGGCAACACTCATATCAAATACCCATTCACCGAAATTAAGATATTTGTCTACATAATCACGAATCGTACTGCTTTCTATTTTGGAGGTGGCTACTCTTTATATAAGGTTAGGGTCAATACGAAGACTATACAGAATACGTTACTGTAATCCAGTCGATCGTTTAATGCCTGCTAGTAAAGTTGAGATCAAGATGGCGTCAAAAGTATAGTGAAGTAGTTTGCTCATCACAAGTAAAAAAGAAAAAAAAAGGGAAAAAAAAAGAGAAAGCAACTCCGCAGTCAGTCTATTTTATTGTCTATGATGGAACAACTTCTCGGTCAATTTAAAACTGAATTGGTAGATCCATAGTAAATAGGAGAGTGATTCATACTGCCACCAAGCTTTGATGAGTTCCTTGAAGAGGTGTAAATTGAAGCCAACAGATTTGATCTTTTCGAAAATGTACTTTTTGGTATCCAGCCAAACAGCTTTTGAACAATACATGCCCATGACCATATACGTTATACGCTCATCAGACACACTATTCAGTTTTTCATCTACATGTCTTAGGAGATCATTTGTCTTGAGCAAGAGTAAGACAGGACGAGGTAATCGAGCAAGAATGTCGGCTACTTGAACAAGATAAGTTAAAGCGCCTTCTGAAATACGGCCCACTTCATCTGTTCCACGCGTACTGCCTAGATCAGATTGGCTGATCTTCTCCCATTCTCGACCTGTGAGCATACAGGCAAATAACTGGTAAATGTCAGTACCACCTACACGATAAGCGTATTTTTGAATGCCTTCTTCGTCTGCCTTGATCAGAGAAGTCCAGAGGTGTGCATAATTCGAGCGAAGATCGTCTGATAACTCTCTGTAAAGACCATGGTCTAGCAAGACCAAGTCAAAGTTGTATTTAGAGTATTTTGGATTCTTAGCAGGTCGAATAAACACATTTCCCGGGTGAGGATCACAATGAACAAAGCCATGTAAAAAAATCATTTCTGAAAAGACACGCGTGAGTTCATTCGAGACCTGTCGGGGATCAATGTTGTGTTTCTTCATGTACTCTAAATCGTCCACTCGAGAACCATTGATGACTAGTACACATCAGTAACTTTTCCCTCATTTGGATTGACTTACATTCCATGCACATAATTCGTCTTTTGGCCCAAATCACTTGAGGAATCACAAGCGCTGTTTTGTTATGCTGAACATCTTCAGCAAAATTGGATCGAACGCGGTTTGAATTCTGCGATTCATGCACAAAATCCAGTTCTTTAGGAATCGATTCCCTCATTTCTTCTGCAAACCAGTCGAACCCAAAATCAGGAAACACACGCTTCACAATCTCGAAAATAAAAGAAACGGTGTCCATGTCTAGCTGACAGTATTCATCTAGATAAGGATGTTGTAGTTTGACAGCCACCCATCGATCATTGGTATCATCGTCCAGCCAGCTATTTTCCCTCTGTTGCTTTAAGGTTTCAATGCTCTGTTGTGAAAGTCGAGCTCGGTGCACTTGAGCCAAGGAAGCAACACCTAAAGGCGTCCAATCAAACGCTTCAAAGATCTCACCGACATCCATACCCATATCCGATCGAAACAGGGCTCGGATCGCTTCTGGACTTGTGGGCACGCATTGATCTTGTAACACACGCATGGTGAGGCACCATTCGTCCGGCAACAAGTACTGCATGACAGAGATATGTTGGCCCAGTTTGACATAGACACCACCGAGGTGCTGAATGGCTTTTAAGACACGGGTAGCGGAGCGTTGATGACAGGCCCGTTTTGCCTCCTCATGCTCGGCTGGCGTACTGTAGTGCTTGGATAAGGTGGTATGGTAATCGTAAGCCACTTGGGCACCGACAGTGCCTGCGATACGACACCGTTCAAGTGCGTTGGCTACATGACGAAACTGGTCGTTGGTTTTATACAGGAGAGCGCCGCCTACGCCTACAACGACCGTGGTTCCCAAGGTGAACATGGCAGCACCTTGAATCATACGTCGAGGTAAGCTTTTGCGAGGTTGTAGGGTTGCGTAGCACCGAGATCGAGGTCGAAGGCTAAAAGAAGGTGGTAAAGTGTTCAGCCAAGCTGAACGCCGAGGCAATAATTGGACTTGAGTCATTATTTTTATTGTTGATCAATGTGTATGCATGCACACATATACACATACACAAAAAAAAAGAAGAGGAAATTTGACAAGAAAAAAAGGTAAGAATTTCATCATAGGGAATTCGGTTGTTTAAATACATTCTGCTTTATCATTGGTTTGTGTCTTGTTGCCATACGTCAAGGACTTTTGTAAGAGTATATGGAGTTTCATTAGTTGCACTTTTATCATTTGGAATGAGTCTTTTGACGACATACAAGTAATAATTGAACGAATTGACTGTATATTTATATGAACAAAACCTCTTGCTTTTTTTTGCCTCAATGGCTCCAAAAGCGCTTCTTTTTTGCCTTTTTCAAGTGTCTTATCTGTTAGAATATATAACAGATCATTTCCATAGAAAAAGACAACACTTTTCGAAATGGCCAAAAATTATCGAAAGCCCTTACTACCCTTTGAGGACTTTCTTCATTTTCACAATATCTCGATTTGCCAGCGATAGGGCAACTCTCTACTATGATATATCATAGTACGAAATGTTTGTCTGGACCTATAGAATACACCCAAAGTGTTGGATTTGCAAAAGTTATATGGCCCTAAAACGAAAAACATGTTTTTGACAGATAACTCTAAATTTGGATAGTAGATATATTGCTTTCTTTGCACCATTAGATGTGGCCTATTGATTTTTACGACTTTTGCTAATGGTGCATGCTGATAGCTCCTTGTTTTTAGGTACTTTTGGATGAGTTTTTGTTTTAATTTCAATTTTCTAGATTGAAAACTAGCGCACACTAGTCACATGATCAGTCTGGTGTTTAATTACCGATCATCTCTACTTTTTAATGAAATCAGGGAAACATGATCGATTCATAGTTGTAATTGCTCTTTTCAGTGTTAAACAAATGCAATGCGAGTTTGAAATGTATAGCATTTCAATATAATTGATATGGCTTATTTTAGATAGTTATGTTTTGCTTTGTAAAGGGCAAGACACAAAAGAAGAGAAAATGCATTGAAGTTTATTGGATTTCATCCACTTTGTTTTCTTGTAAATTGTCTACTTGTTCTAATTGTGTATTGCAATTGAGATTTCTTTGATTTGCTTCTACTTCTTCGTTTGCCTCTACTTCTTCATTTGTATCTGCTTCTTCATTTGACTCTACTCCCTCATCTAAACCTGCTGCTTGATCTCCTGTATCGTGTGTTTGTTGAGGCTCTATACTTTGTTGTTCTGCTCTATTTTCTTGAGATTGAACATCTTTGTTTTCGGTATGTAAACTATTGTTGTCATTCGTTTGTATCTTGTTTCCATTCCCAAGGAATTGGTTGTCAACAATATAACGAAGGCATTGCAAAATAACATTCTTTTCTTGAAGAATGTCTTTTTCCAGCAGCTAAAAAGAAAAGTCAGTACCTATAAACGCACACATAAGGAACTTTTACCTTGAACAACAAATTGGGCCTTCTATTAATGGCTGGAGCAGGGCGAGGTTGTTTTGGTCTAGGCTCAGGCTTTTCATGCAAAAAGGTACATTCATCACCTCGCTTACATTTACCAGACATGAAATATTTACATCTTCGCTTGGGTTTGTCTTCAGGCAATAAGATTTTGCCTATGGCCGAAGGATCTTTGGAAGTGATGGCGTCCTTTTCTACATCCATCAAATCATCCTCTTCGTCATTTTCTTCGGAATCATAAGGAGCTATGAGTCCATTTGTTTCTTCTGTCTTTTGTTTCTTTTCTTGTCGAGTGTTTTGTTTCATCTTACGCTTCTTGCCTGACAATTCTCCTCGTGCTTCTTTCTCAACCTCTTCCTTCTCTTTTCGCTCTACATTTGCTTTGCTTGGCCAGTTCTTTTTTCTAGCTGCAATCCAAGCCTCTAATTCTTCGGGTGTATTGATTTTAGGCGCATTGGCTGGAATAATACCATCTGGTTTTGATCTATTGGATTCATAAGTCTCCTTTTGTTTGCTTCAGTTTATCTTGACTTACGGTTTCTTGTTAATTGGGACTTTTCCATGTGCTATTTCTTCATGTTCTTCTAAAACTGAAGGAAGGCACATATGATCGCAACTTGGACATTTAATATGAAGTTTTTCATGCTGTGCGACAGCCATGACTGTCTTTAACCATCGATTACAACACACTTTGGGTCTAAGGCAATAGATTATGAGTAAAACGATTAGTTCTTTTGGCTCTCTTACTTTTCAAGAGGTTCTTGTGGATTGGATTGTTGGTTAGGTTTGGTTCGACGATAAGCTGGTTGGGCCAAGTCTCCATAGTTTAACATGGACCTTTGTTGATCCTGAGCTGCATAATAGTCTGCATAATAGTCCGTAGCTTGTTGTGGCGGGTATGAGTGATAATAATGTGGATGATAGGTAGTTGTATGAGCAGAGGATTGTTGCATTTGATATACAACACTCGATAAAGCAGCCGAGGGATCGCCTTGAGGGATCTGTGGCTGATTCCCGGGATTCGAGTAGTATTGAGGATAATAGTATTGTTGGTATTGCTCGTAAGAGTATTGAGGGTAGTTGTTGTGATTATTGTTAGCCATAGATCGTATTGAAGGAAGAAAAAGAAAATTATTTTTTTTTGAATGTAATACGGTCACATAGTGGTATGGATAAGCCAATGAGTGTTGAGGAAGCTTGGTGCCTGATAGTAAATTCATGCATAAACTTTTTATATCAAATATACTCAGTAGTGAATTTAATGGGTAGGTGTTTTTATGACTAACAGTTAGTTATGCCTTATTGATCAAATCGAATTTCGGCTTCTCTCTGAATGAAAACCTGCCTCAACTAAACATACACAGTTCTTCATGGATTCCACTCAGCTACTCTATCAAAAAAAAAAAAAAAAAAAAAAAAAAAATAGGTGGAAATTGAATAAGCTACTGCCCAATCAACTACACATTAGATTTACACTATGTCATTTTATTTATATACACGAATGACTGAAAAATGTGTTTTTACGTATGTTTGTTTTATATTTGATATTTTATTCAAAACTGCAATAAATGTGCCACAATTGCATCTCTCCATCTGATAAGATTTGAAACTTCCCGGATAAAAGCAGGGAGACTTTGGGGAGTAATTGGGCGCTCGATCTTAGCATTTTGTGAACGAATGTACTTGTTTCTATAATAAATCAATTCTTCAAAATATATAAAATTACCTATAAGAACAAGATGAAGTAAAGTAATATGGACATTAAATACTTTACTGAAAAATCTGACGGCGAGTATTTGCTTTTTTGGTGTTTCTGGCTACACTTCAAGTATTTTTTTATATATCATGTCTTTCTTTGGCGTTGTATTATTCGGCATAATACCTCCTGAAAATTCAGTGAGTGAAAGTAAGACTTGTTTGTTTTTTTATCAACACCAAGACACCGTTCTATTTTCGTTTTCTGGTGATACTATGTTCTTTCTCGACCCTGTCAAGTTCCAACATATCTATATAACTAAGAAACCAGTCGTCATAACTTTCTAATAACCTTTTCTACTATTGTTTCAAGGAAATACTCCACCCACTCCAAAAAGTGATCCTTTGTATAGGAAAAAAATGTTTTGAGCACAGTAACGAAGGGAGGCATATTGTAAGAAATAATTTATATGCCAATTGACCACATTTGAAGCAATAAATGGGTTTATTTATCAAACAAAAAAACCTGTCATTTATGTAAGAGAGAATAGTTGTCCAAGTTATTTTACTTTTGATCCTATACTAGACAATGAAAATAGGCTTTTTTTTATTTATTTATAATAGACTTATTTTACAATTGATGCTTAGAAATACGTTCTCTTGTCTTTTTGAAAGTTTCATTTGAGAATGCAATCCACTGATCAATAGCACGATTGCCTCTTTCTTCATGATCAGCTGGATAGTTCTCCAATGTGGGTAGCTCTGGATGGATCTTTTCAGCATGATAATTTAACCAAGTAAGAAACGGCTGTCTTCGCTTTCGATCTGCGTTAAATATCTCTTGTAAACTAATACCGGGATTGAAGTCAGAAGCAAACTGCTGCATATGTTCTGTCGTCGGCAAAAGAGCTTGGCCAGACCAGACACGAGCCACACTGATCGCTTGTGTATCAAAGTGTGAAGGTAGACTCGTGATCGGAGGCAGTCCTACAAACGCTAAGGTAGGATCCGACATCAAGAACACTTCACGATAGACATTCAGAGGAAATTTAGGACCAAGCACAACATGACTTTCAGGCACATCATCATACAGAGGTCGAGGAGGCACAATAGCCACTTGTTCAGCGTCTTTTGGGATCACCAATCCATCTAAGAATTGAAGACGTGTATTGAAACCTGTACAAAAGATCACTTGGTCTACATCATCTAACACAGTATCGTCTTCAAACAGAATTGTCCCGTCGATCTCGCCTTTTTCGTTCGAGAAGGTTGCTACATTAGGCTTGATGCTGACAGAACGAGGAATTGTACTGCGCACAATATTGTAGATGGGAAAAGGGGATTCAAAGGGTCCTTTGATAGCCATGGTAGTCGTTGTCGAGAAACCCTCCAAAGATCTAGCAATATCCACTGCAGATATACTACCACCTATCAAAAGCACATGCTAATGGTTTTGGGTTAATTTCGAATTAAATGCATGATGGGAGCTTACTTTGCCCACGAAATCTTCAGGGCGTCTATATTGTATGGAATGCATGGATCGATCAGGATGCATTTTGTTGTATGCAATAAAGTCTTTAAAATCAGGCACGTAAGGGTCTTGATGAGGACCTGTAGCAATAACAACAGCATCAAACGATTCTTTCCATCGTGTTTCACGAACAATACCACTTGTATACACATCGTATTTTGAAAGTGTTAATTCCCACCTATCTTGCTGTTTGGTAACCAGATCAACACTGGTATCAAACTCAATCAATGGCATTAAATCGTAATGATGAGCATACGACTCAAAGTAAGCTTGTGTAACTTGATGAGGACACCAGTCGGGTGTGTTCTCTGGGAACGGGAAATCAGGATAAGCAAAAAGAGAGGTCGATATGTTATTGTAAAGGTCTCGATAACAAGCTGAAGGAGGACATTTTCTTAGCATTAAATTTTTGATTTCAGGTGTCATTTCATACAGTTGTTTTTGTGGTTCTCCTTCTTTGACCTCCCATGCTTTGTGTTCAACATCACGTGTGATACGCGAAGTTGGCATTTTAGGCTTGGGAACCATGCTTTCTGAATACACCCTAACAATTGCATGAATAAGGACAGATAGATTGTATGATAAGTTACCATACGCCACCCACAGAAGAATTCCTTTCAAACACACGGACACAAAATCCTGCTTCCTTTAAATGTCTTGCAGAAGGCAACTACTATTGTTAACAAAGACAACATATGGCATATTACTTTACACCTGAAGGACCTGTGCCAATCACTGCTACATGCTTAATTTGTTTTTTAAATTTATAAGGGCTTTCAAGCGCTTCTTTTGCTTCATTCAAGGCAATGCGGTCAATTTCTTCAAGATCAAGCACTTGAAATCCTGCTTTTAATGCTTGTTCAGACATACAGAAAGGAAGAAAAAAGAAAAACGACACAAAAAAAATAGAAAAAATAAGTATATTTCATCACGTGAGATTAAAACAAAAAAGGATTTCTTTTTATTCGAAAAACTTAGTTCATGGATTGAACCAACTTGTTGATGAATTGTTCACGGTTACCAGTGTCACCACCTTCAACGTAGTTGAGGAACTTACGTTCTCTCCACAAGTTGTTGGGGTTGGACAACTTGAAGGGCCAGAGGAAGTTAGAGGCTTCCTTGAAGTGAGGACCAACAGTGGCAATTTCGTGGATGAGATCTTCAACACAGATGATGTTGTACTTGCCAAGGACTTGTTCAATGACAGAGTTGTCATGGATAGGGATACGTTGCTTGTTAACCTTACCGTAACCACGCTTGTAGATCAATTCACGGATGGTCTTCAAGTTGGGGTAACCGTAGGCAACGTAGGGTTGAATCAATTGGAGCATCTCAGAGGTAGCCTTGTTGAGACGGACAAAGACACCGTTGTTGATTTGGAGGAGACGCAAGAGTTGGAGAACCTTACGGGGCTTGGGGGCAATGTTGTTGATACCGCGGACACGAACAACGAAGACGAGCTTTTCTTGGGCAGGAACGTAGTAGTTACCTTGAGCCTTGGCTTGACGACGAAGACGGATTTCGTTACGAGCAGCAGCCTTGTATTCGGCATCGTACTTGGCAGCACGCTTGAAGAGGTCACGTCTCTTGGCAAGCTTAGCCTGTTGTTAAATGTTAGTAAAGATGCGTATAAAGGCGAGAGAGATGTTAAAAAGAAAGGAAATCAGCCCCGAAAGATGGTTAACTAAGAGACATCATTGAGTGCAATCTAGTCCATATGGGTTGTACCCCAAGTATCATCATGTTTCCTTTCTTCTCTTCACTCTTTCTCACTTTCTATTTTATTCGTCTACTTGCCTTACGGAGTTCAGCCTTCTTGGAAGCAGCAGCTTCAGCAGCCTTGGCAGAGGCCTTGTTCTTCTTCAAGAGGGTTTCAGGAACGAGGACGTCGTTAGCAGCGGGGACGTTGCTAATGGATATGGTTAGTGACCAAGTTCAAAAAAAAAATGAGGAAGTGCTACTGTATAAGCCACCCAAACATGAGTTGGAATATGAATCCTTTTCCGTCTAAAAGAGACATATGATCTAATGCTTAGGCGTATTGCTATATACATAAACAAGCATTTTCTTCTCCTCGATTCGTGTTCCTTCATAAATAGGAATGGAGTAGTAACTTACTAAGCAACCATGTTGGTACTGTCTGAACTGGTGTAAAAAGAGAGAGAACCATAAAAAAAATTTTTGTCCACCATTAAAGTCTGAATTTTCCAGTCCCGGACAGTAATTAAGCAGTCATACACATCTCCCGCGCTTTTTTGTCATTTGAATGTTTATAAGGCATAAAATGTAAAAATCATAAATATATTGATAAATAAGACATAAGTGAATATATATATAATAGTTAGATATCAAGTAGCAATCATGGCATTATCTTGCAAAGATGACATCATGCTTAACATGGGAATAGACTTTTGATATGGTTGATCTGCTGAACACATAGCTAATGCTTCATCTGTATTTTCTCTAGCTGATACATCTTGAGATTTATATAGTTTTCTCTTTTGCTGACAAAGTTTTGGAAAGGCCTTTTTCATAATACGATGCATAAATGGCTTCTTGCTCTTATGCTTGGTTTCAGGATGTACAAGAGTGTTTGAAGAATAGCAACCAATAAGACTGGAATGGTGAGGCTCTTGCTCATTATTGTCCGCAGCTCGTAAGGCATGAAAATTTAATTCTTGTTCAATGGCACGCATTGTATCTTGAATACTGTTTAAAATATTTTCTGACTTTGGGCTCTCTATCCATTGTTGCTCTGCTTCTCTGTCATAAACACTGCTTGCATTATCTTCTTCTTCTTCTTCTTCTTCTTCTTCTATAAAGCTTGGTTCTATATGATCATACATGAGAGAAGGGAAATAAAACTATACTGGTTCTTACCTTGACTTGAACAGCGATTGTTGCATTGAATAGAAACAAGATGGTCTACTTGATCCTTTAGATTGGAAATAATATCATCTTTTTCTTGTAATTTTAAATGACATCTAGACTCCATTGATTTCAATTCGCTTCGACACTGTCGTTGTAAATTGTCTAATTGATCTTGATAATACATTTCAAGTTCTATGGCCCTATTTCTCCATTTGAAAATCACCTCATTTAAAGCAGCAATTTCAGACTAGAACAGATGAATGATGCTGCATTTAATTGTCTCTATTTTACCTCTTTTATAAGCAATGTTGTTTCCAATGCTGCGACATCAATAGGTTCTTGAGGGTGAGAAGGAAGCATTGCTATTACAGCTGCAACCATAGAAGCTGCTTCTGTATCGTCTTGTTGTTCAAAATAAGTCTTCAAGCAATCTGTGCTTGTACTAGAGACCATTTTAAATAATAAAGCTTCCCCCTCTTCTGGATGAGAAAAAAAAAGAAAAGAGAAAGAAAGAAAATCATAATAACGCCCATTTTAGACAATCATTCAATTTTAGGAGTTAAATGGTTTTAAATACTTCTCTCCTATTATTATTTATTATATGTACAATTTAATGGTTCATAGATCTGGGTTGAATGCCAGTGTTGAATTGTTGTTTGACATGATTACCAGCGTTTTTAGAGACATCATGTTGACGAGAAGCAGTATGGTTTTGCATATCTTGAGCTTGTCTTTCTTGAAGGATACGGAGACGCATACGTTCTTGTTCCTCAGAATTTTCTTGTTCTTGTTCATGTTCTTCTTCTTTTGTCTTGTCTTCATTCTTCATGGCATGCATGTGGTTATGATGGTTGGGTTGCTTGACTCTCATGCCACCAACGACTTGAGCAGGAACGACATCAGAGGGAATACTAGGGTTAGGCATGTTGAATTATATATAAGATAAAAAAATACAGTAAAAAGTGGTTTGGTTTATATACTTTTTTTTTTGTTTTTTACTTGTTGCATAAACAGTTTGAAGACATGAAATCATTATGACATCGTGTTATTATGCGAGCTAAACGCCTTGAAAATATTCGGAGTTTTGCATAAAAGTAGTGTCATGTAAAAGCTGCGGCAGCAGTGTTCACTCTAATGGGGTGATTTTTATTGAGTTATTCGTATTTATGGTCTATAAGTGATCTTCTTGAGTTTGGTTCATGTCTGTTTCTACAGAAAAAAGAAAGAAAGAAAGAAAGAAATGAGAGTGAAAAAAATAAGACACATGAAATGAATGCAAGAAAGTTAAAATAGGCTTTTTTTTTTGAATACTTACACTGTAGGTGCGTCATGGCCTTTTTATATTGAAAAAGTGATTTTGATCGCGTCAAGTCTATAGACAGCTTAAATTCACATGCTTTTTTCTCAGGCAATAATTTAACGCTCAGTCTTAACAAGGTACCAGTTTTATTTTCTTGTTTTTTTTTATTTCTGTTTAGTAAGCAACATGTCCATAGACTCTAAGAACAAGACTCAAATTCAAGATGATGATTCCGATTTCGATGACTTGTTAGATGGTAATAAAATAAAAAACGCGCGCTTTTATATTGATGTGACTAGACGTTTTGGACGATATGTCTAATACCACACTTGAGCAAAAAAAGCCCGTGGAGACAAAAACCAAGACGACAGATCAAGATCCACCCGAACAAGACCTCGATGAGCTCTTGGGTAGTGATGAATTCGCAAAGCAATTAGCTGCGGGTATGGAACAATTGATGGGTCAGATGAATACTGATGAGAATGATGAGATGAAGCAAGCATTTGAGAAAGTATGGGCTTCTCTTGACAAGAACACAGAAGAAGAAGTAAAGAAAGTACCCAAGACTCCTCAATCCTTTCAAGATACGATTGGTAAAACCATGAACAAATTGAAAGATAGTTCAAAAGAGATTGATGTAAGTAACAGCAAACAAAGTGTGTGTGTTATTTACTTGAGCTAGACTTCCATGGCTGAGGAATCAGAGGATGCTTTTATGGCAGAGCTCATGAAGCAAATGGAAACATTGGCTGATAATGGAGAATTTGAAGGTGTTTTAGAAGGCATGATGAGCCAATTGATGTCGAAAGAATTACTGTATGAACCCATGAAGGATTTGGCTCAAAAGTACCCTACTTGGTTAGAAGAACACAAAGACGCAGCAGAGTATGATAAATACAAGCAACAACTTACCATTTGTCAACAAATTGTGGCAAAGTATGAATCTCCCGAGTTTGATGAAAAGAATGAGACACAAGGTAAAGAAATCATGGATTTAATGACAAAGATGCAAGATTTGGGTCAACCTCCCGCTGAACTTTTGGATGAAATGGCTCCTGGTATGAATTTGGGTAATCCTGAAGGTATGCCTGACATGAAGGATATGGAAAACTGTACAATAATGTAGAATAATAAAGTCAATCTCTGATTACCTAATAAAAAATGATGGCTTAAGCCATTTGAGTATCATCAAGTTTCGATTATATGTGCCTAGAACAGCTAAGGAAAGCTTATTTGATTAAAAACAGTCTTTTATCTCTCTCTTTTTTTTAAAAAAAAGGTTACATTGTTTTTTTTTTCAGGTGTACAACATGAGTAGAGCTAAAGGTGATTAAGGACAATTTTATGGAATGACTCCAATGAGAACATCTTTTATTTGCATAAAAACATACTTGGTTTAAACGCAGTTTGTGCTACATTTGTCTGGTTGAACCCTGATACTGCAGAAGGGACTCTCACCCAACAAAATTTGCTTGTTTGGTATGATCTCTAAATTTGGCTTATCTTTTCTATGTTATTGTTTAACTTGCATATTGTGTGTGTGTGTGTATGTGGCTGATTGGACCGGCTTTCTCCGGATTTTTTTTAATTGACAAATCAAATATACTCCTCATTAACCTGATTTATCATGTAGATATCAATTTATTTTTAAAGAAAGCAAGAAAAAAGGAGAAAAAGAAGGTGCGGTATCACTGGGAGAATCAAGGGAAATCGCTGCAAACTATTCAATTATTGAGAAGATTGAACCTTGATAAACTAAAAAAAAAAAAATTTCTCAATGGAAATAAGTGCATTTTTATTTCTTTTTTATACTCCCGCTATCTTTTCAGCCCTCTAGATGAACAAAAAAAAAAAAAAAAAAAAAAAAAAAAAAAACGAGTTATTGTTCATTTACTGAGTTTATAAGGATGTTACTCAACAAAAGAAATGCAATTTCCTTCTTTTTTATTCGAATCAGTTGAGCACAGATCTTTTCAAAGTCGTGTAGCCTTGTGATAGTCTGTTCTAGAGCCATATTTTATTGGACGAGAAAAAAAAGTTTCATTCTATGTATACAATGGCGCATTTCTTTATCCAATCAATGAAACCAACAACACACTTTTTGAGCGTGTAACCCATACAACAACAACACTGATTTATCGCCAGCGATCTTCTTTACTTGCTGCTTTCCCATTGTTTCTCATGTAGACAAGTTCTAATAAAGAAATAAAAAAGATTTGAAACATTTACCAAAAAACTTGTTTAGAAACTTTTTTTTTTTTTTGTAAACAAAGCAAAGGCGAGACAAGTTAGCTCGGATCGTCGGACAGGTTTACCGAGTGAATTTTTTTTTTTGGGATGATTATATACAGATAATTTTTATTTTTATGAAAGTACAGCAGAAGGAGAAGTTGAATAAACACTATAAATGGGTGAAGAATGAGAATCATAAAAGCAATACTTGTTGACGAAATCAGAGTAGCTCATTTGGAAGCCTTCAGCAGAGAATGGAGGGGGAGAAGCAGGTGGTGTGAGTTGCTGAATGGGAATAGGTTCGGTTTTAGTGATATGAACAGCGGGAGATAATAATTTAGTGGTTTCTTGAGAGAGAGGGGTATAGAACAAAAGATCATGATCATCTGTAGGCGTAGCAGGAGGTGGTGAAGGCGGTGGTGAAACTGGTTTACGAGCTGCGGTTAATGAAGCAGAGAAATCATATCGTCTACCCAATACTTCTTTTTTGACTTGTTGTTTTGGTTGTTCTTGGCAAACCTCTTTTGTTTGTTCAATCGCTTGTTCTCCAGAAGGTGAAAGAAGCATTTCATAATTCATACCATTGTTATTGTCCCAGAATTCTTGATTATCGACAGTATATCTTAAAGCAAGGTAGATAGTTTGAGGAGTCTGTTTTGCTTGAATAGGAATGTTGAATACAAATCTGTCCCACGTATTAGCAGTGCTAGCGATTGATTCACGGAATACTCCGGTTGTTTCTTGATAAGTACGCCATAAATCAAATGTGTAACGTACAGTAACAACTTTATGAAAAGATAGATTGGCTGCTCTACAGCGTCCCTCAATCACCATTTGTTGGTTCAACATGTGGTCAGCATCACCATCCAAGAGTTGAGCATTTTCCATACGAATGTTTGAATGATGATGATGATAAAGCATCCTTGAAGAACAAGACCAGTTGGGAAATGTAAGTTTGAAATCATCAGCTGAGGTGTCCATAAAGGGAGGGTCTGTCTTGACAGTTATTGGCGATTGTGTTTTGTAAAAGTAACGCACTTGCTCCAGGTCTTCTTGTGCAAATCTAACCTTCTTTTTCTCTTGTTTTGGTTTGTATTTTTGCTGAACTACCACAGGATCATTGATTTGATGTGTGGCACGTCTTAACACAATTCTTTTTTGACGATGAGTATATGTAGAAGTGATGGTATTAGACATTCTCTTCTTTTAATGTAGATGGAATATATACAGATGAAGGGAAAATAATAATGCGATTAAAAAGGGTAGAGAAAGTGGAAAGAAAGAAAAGAAGAAGAGAAAGAAAGCGTCCTTTTTATATTAAAAAACAAAAACAAAAAAAACCAAGGCGATTATTTTTAATAGATAAAGTTTTCCCTTTCGTCCCTACTTGGCTTTAAGCTCCGTTCTGATTCCATATTAGTATTATCTGTCTGGACCGTTTATCAGAAAGAAGAAGAAAAATTGTTTGACAAACATCACACAAACGATTTAAAGTATGGCATTATATAAATAGTCAACCCCATCCTAATTTACTTTATTAGAATCATTCACACACACATACAAATACAAACACAAAAAGCCTTTCTTTTCGTTTACTTTAAGGATACATTTTGTCATTATTCACACAACTCGTCAAAGAGATAACAGCCTATCGCCTGCAACATGCTATTCCTCACTATCTTCTAAAGAAGAAGAAGAAGAAGACGATGACGACGATGATGATGATGATAATGGCGAAAAAGAAGAAGAAAAAGAAAAGCAATGCAAAAGACGACTTGTCCAAAAGAAACGTAGAGGCAATCTACCTAAATGTGTCACTGCCATTCTGAAGCAATGGCTGATAGATCACCACAAACACCCCTACCCTACTGAAGAAGAGAAACGAGCACTGGGGCTCAAGACAGACCTCACTCTAAACCAGATTAGTAATTGGTTTATTAATGCACGAAGACGAATTCTACCTTTTATCTTATCACAAAAAAAATAAATCCAAAAAGAACTGATATACCCAATTAAAGCGCATGGATCAGCATCCAAAAACGGAGTTTACTCCACATTTCCAGTTTTTTACCATTGAAGCTGATTTGAAGTTCACTGTCGTTATCAGCGAGTGAAAGAAACGGCGTGTCGCTTGTGCAATGACACAGGCTGCACTTGGCTATCTCAATGATCAAGCATCAAGCTAATTCGAACCCTAAACCACAAAAAGAGAGAGCGATTGTGCACATCCTGGTAAATTCTTGGAAAATCAGAAATCAAAACGCCGATTGAAACCTACAGTCTCGATAGAAGATATGCATCAACTATGTTCGGAAATGTCAGGAAGTACGATAAACTTTCTTTCTAAATAAATACAAATGCTGTTTCTGCTACAAACAAACCAATATTTGCGCACAAGATCGATTCACATGATTCAAACACTTTTTTTTTTCTTCTGTCGTGATGATATCAAACATAACGTTTAGATTGTAAAGTAAAAATATAAAATATAAAAAAAAGGCGGGAAACGTTTCAAAAGGAGTCGATTTAGATCTGTGACAGCCTGGATTCTCCGCGCCTCGTCCATATATGTACACATAAGATAGACAAATAGGATCAAATGACACTCGGACCATCTTCAAAGCGGTTGACGCCATTTCAAATAAAGAAATCGAAAATAATCATGTAACAATCATACCACACCATTCCCGGAAATAGTTTGCACCCTGAGAGAAAAAGATTGCACTCATTTAGAAATTGTAGATTACACAACTGTGCAATCTTAGAGAGGCTCTTTCTTCAAGCATAATTGTAGCTTTGAGTCAGGATAGCAACAAAGCTCCTCAAAGATCCTCCAGATAAACACTGTTATAAACATCGATTATTCTCAAAGTCAAAATTTCTTCCTTCGACATTTCTTTTGTTTTCACCTTGCTCTCAACCACAAACCAAAGTTACTCAATAGGATTAAGCTCAGGGAATATGGCAGAAAATAAGCACATCCATATCCTCGCTGGACAGTTACCTTCTCAATCTAATCTGAGACGTGTATAAAAGCATCATGTATAAAAAGAAAGTGACCTTTAAACTGCTCATATCAATCAAGTACATCCAAAGGATTAGAAATGAAACTTAGATACTAGCCAAGAGCAGTTCCTACTGCCTTCTTTGCATTTGGCTTGTCTGTAACTCCTTGTTTTTCTTTCTTTAGAATTTTGTTCATAGAGTAGTTCCACTTCAATATTGATAGCACTCTGCAAAGACGTTTCCCCAAAATAGTCAATGCTCTAGCTCTCATCTTGGACTGAACTACAACAATGGCCGTGTGGCTTCAATCAGAACAATATATAAAGGCACAGCCGCTCGTCATATCGTCAAAATTAGTTTTGAGTCACTTAAGAATGTAGGTGTTGATCTTCGCAAACATGTCTTTACTCATAGAAAACTGCGAATTGTTTTATCAAGAGTAACTTCTGCATCCAGCCTTTCAGTTTTATCACCAAAAGAAAACAATAATAATATAAAAATAGCCAAAGATATCGTTTATCCCGAAGTCGTATTCCAATAATAGCTTTCTGAGACAAAACATAAGCTAGAAATTAGCTTTTTAAATCATGCTAGAAGTTTTTTTATCATCACCATTAGATTAGAACTTTATTTACGCCATCAGATTGGGATAAATTTAGCAGCTAAATCTGCAGGGCAATGACAACTGACGACCGCAAGTCTACTTACAAGATTGTCTTATCATTTCATTAAGATAAGTAGATGCAATTCGACTAGGACCGAGGATGCATGACTTTGTTGAACTGGTAGTTTGCGTCTAAATCATTGTTGCAAAAGAAGGAAAGAGCAAAACTGTGTCGCGATACGCTTTGTACTAAAATCGATGAATCTGATAGGTAGAATTTAAAAGTATAGTGTATGACAAATTCTAAAAACCCAGCATATTTTTGCTTTCTAACGATCTGTGTAGTGGAAACTGAGAATTACAAGCCATGACGGGGGACACAAGACGCTGCCTTCATGGATTTAGCACTAAGAGGAGAAAGGAAGTATAATGGAGAAAAAAATTTACACAAAAATTAATTTTATGCTTTTGGGTGGCTTGGTGGTTCCATCTAATGCTACCACCTCACCTTCCCAGGAATGGACTCTTTTTGGCGCTAATGATGATATAGAATCTCAAAAAGAACAAGGGCAAAAAGATTATAGGAATGGTCTCCTCGATCTTGTTTCTTCAAGATTTATAGCTCTGCATCATCAAAAATGTGTCCTTGATACATTGAAAATATCAAATACAGAGACCAACGAAACTATTGGGTATTCAAATTAGCAGTTGCTAAAATTGACAATATCGCAAATAGATATCCCAGACTGTCTAGAAACTCTTTGTTTGTCAAAAGCAATATAACAGAATAATATAGAGAACAAGTCATGCAAACCATCTATTAAACTTGCTCTCAAAAGCTCTTCCTCATCACCCCACAAATATTCTACCCCATAAAGGATAAACTTTATCCTGTGGTAAGAAACAATTGGATTCCTGTTGTGTACCAAGAAACAAATCATTTGTCTCCTTTACCTTTCTTTTTTTTATTGTTGAACATCTCACTAGGACTGCTAATCAGAAATCACCTCGAAAGCAATACACGTCCCACTCTCCATGCTTTTAAAAAAATACATCAAAAAGAACTAGAATTGCTTGGTGTTGACGAGCAAGCTGTTGCTAATATGTACAGAAAAGAATATGGTTCGGTAATTCAATTTCTCTGTTATGTACGTAACGCGAAGATTTATCTTTCTGACATAATTGAAGTTTATTCAGAGCAAAGTGCAGGATGGTAAGCAAAAATTGCTATGGTTATATCACATATGACTAACGACTGATTAGCTTGAACACAATCGAAGCCTTGAAGAACTTGTCATTTACCATTGTATTTGCATTGCTTAGACAACTAGCTAACTTGCTACTTTACATTGTGGAGGCAAAGAGACAGCAAGAAACCACAGCAGCAGCATGAGAGAGTCCGAGCTGACCTACTCCGTTGCTCATCCCTTCCTTTCTGGCTTGTTTAACTTTCCTGGCTGCAAGCCTTCAAGTGCGTACAATGTAGATATATATTGTGTTCAAAAAACTAAACTCATTCTATAGTGCAAACATAAAAGAAGTGAAATAGGCGAAAATCAAAAGCCTGATTATCGTGTTGACCATTACTGAGACGGCAATTACACCTATACAAGCCTATATGACGAGATCAAGCCTAAGGCTGCCATCATCATAGCTAAATAATTGCTATATCTTGATACATACCGAATTGCACGCTTTTCAAAAAATGCAACCAAGAGATTTGACACTTCTTCGGTGACGTCGGTGCAGGTTATTGGTACCTCTTTCCTTTTTTTTACCTTCTTGAGAAAAAGAACAAAATCTTTACGTTGACGAAGATTGCCTCTTTTGTTGTGCCTGTTGCTCTTGATAGATTTGATTTGATTTTGGAATTGATTATGCAGCTTGGACATTTAGTCAGAATATCCAAGAAGAGCTGCTTGAAAGAGGAAGACGAAGAATAATAACAAGAACAAGATAATAGCCCAATCATTCCATTTGATTCTGTGGATGAACTCGTTGGCTGTTCAAAATCAACAAAAAACAACATCTGTTGCTAAATTTATATGTTTTAATATTAGTTTTATATTTCAATATATGTGTTTTTAACTTGAACTCATTTATTCCTGGCTCAGCTGATATGCTTGGAAGAGGAAAATACAAATTGAAGTCTATTACACTGTAAAAGAATAGAGCAATTGCCGTAACGACGACGGAGGAAGTGGTTTATAGGCTTTCAAATCGCGCTTTATTTTCAGTAACCCTAACTCACTGTTCTTTACTTCTTCCAAAGCAAGTATCTGTAACAGTTTTTTAGTGAACCAATGGTGACTGAGGTTGGCGCACTTAAAACAATTTTCTATACCAAGGGAAGGGAGCCACCACTTCCTTCGTCGTCGTTACTGCAACTGCTTTATTGTGTCTCTTATCTAACACAATAGGCTTTGTCTCCATTCCGACGTCGAAAGTGGTTCTGTTGGTGGTAAATTCACCAAAAACTGCTTGTGTATGGTCCTTTCACATAAAAAAAAAACAGACCTACACCATGACTCCCTCGAACACGTGGCGTCGTCAACCTGAAAACACTACAAAGTCTTGGTCGCAAGTTGCTGCTCGGATAATTGTGTCCTGGCGTAGCCCTTCGCCTTGAATAAATGTTCCATCAGCTACCAACATCCGATATGTTAACCGCCTGAAACAATTTTTGGAATCACAGATTGATGCAAACACTTATTGTTCCCACTTGTTTTTATTCGTATATATTTTCATATTAAACCGTTGTCGAGCACCTCTCCCTTGTGGCCTCAAATACATTAATCCCAACATCCGTGCTCCTTCGGTCCATCTCTTACGTCAGGTCCTCTTCCTCCCGGTTGTTATTCCTCGTGTCTCTCTTCTCCATTTCAAGTATCGATCAAGCTCTCTCAAGCTCTCAAGCTCTCATTTTTTTCTCAATTTCTTATACTACATGTTTATCACATTTTCCTTGGTCTAGTTCTTATAATACCATGGTCTTTTCTTTCCCTCATTTGACGTTTAAAGGACTTTAAATAAAATAGGAGCAAACCTCCCTTATAAAAAAAAGCTTTGACCATTTTTTATAAATCGGAGGTTTGCTCAAGTCAATTCCAAAAGTACCCTAGATGTTAGTAAACACTGTTTGTAATCATTTAGAGCATCTATGCATGTATAAACAGGCTTTATGCCACACTTATTTATCTATGAAATAGAAGAAGACATTTCTCTTTTCACGTTCAAGCATTTATTTGCCTGCTGCTTATGTTACCTGAGTAAGTAATGTATTACCGAATTGCTTATTCAAATAAAGTAGCTTATTAAAAAAACACTTGATCTCTTTAGTCTTTTATTAAATTCGGCCATTCTATGCAAAACTAGTGCCTTAAACACAAGACCAATCTTTCATGTGACCAAAAATAAATGTCTTTCAATCATTACAATTCCAATTTTGCATGAATGCAATTTCAGTGAAAATGCATATATGGAAGCTAAAGCTGTAAATTGATAAACATAATTTCACTAACATTCTTTGCAATCAATTTGATTTTAATGGCATACCTTCAATTAGAACAAAACTTACTTTTATTGAAGGCAAATAAATCATACTCAAAGACTGAAGCTATACCATTTTGGCTTTGAGGATGATAATCTTGCCTTTTTTGGTGAATTTCATGCCACTCAAGTATTTAGAGTATAGTTCTTCCAGAAATTGTTGTCGCGCCAAGATGTCGCATTTTGTATATTTTGCACTATAATTTTTCAACGTTTGCGACATTACTTCTTGGAAAGGCTGTACAATGGTCGTCTAAAAATTAATTTGGATGATCCTATTTGTCTATCTTATGTGTACATATATGGACGAGGCGCGGAGAATCCAGGCTGTCACAGATCTAAATCGACTCCTTTTGAAACGTTTCCCGCCTTTTTTTTATATTTTATATTTTTACTTTACAATCTAAACGTTATGTTTGATATCATCACGACAGAAGAAAAAAAAAGTGTTTGAATCATGTGAATCGATCTTGTGCGCAAATATTGGTTTGTTTGTAGCAGAAACAGCATTTGTATTTATTTAGAAAGAAAGTTTATCGTACTTCCTGACATTTCCGAACATAGTTGATGCATATCTTCTATCGAGACTGTAGGTTTCAATCGGCGTTTTGATTTCTGATTTTCCAAGAATTTACCAGGATGTGCACAATCGCTCTCTCTTTTTGTGGTTTAGGGTTCGAATTAGCTTGATGCTTGATCATTGAGATAGCCAAGTGCAGCCTGTGTCATTGCACAAGCGACACGCCGTTTCTTTCACTCGCTGATAACGACAGTGAACTTCAAATCAGCTTCAATGGTAAAAAACTGGAAATGTGGAGTAAACTCCGTTTTTGGATGCTGATCCATGCGCTTTAATTGGGTATATCAGTTCTTTTTGGATTTATTTTTTTTGTGATAAGATAAAAGGTAGAATTCGTCTTCGTGCATTAATAAACCAATTACTAATCTGGTTTAGAGTGAGGTCTGTCTTGAGCCCCAGTGCTCGTTTCTCTTCTTCAGTAGGGTAGGGGTGTTTGTGGTGATCTATCAGCCATTGCTTCAGAATGGCAGTGACACATTTAGGTAGATTGCCTCTACGTTTCTTTTGGACAAGTCGTCTTTTGCATTGCTTTTCTTTTTCTTCTTCTTTTTCGCCATTATCATCATCATCATCGTCGTCATCGTCTTCTTCTTCTTCTTCTTTAGAAGATAGTGAGGAATAGCATGTTGCAGGCGATAGGCTGTTATCTCTTTGACGAGTTGTGTGAATAATGTGTTCCCAAAAGACAAGATTTGTTTTGAGCATTGCATTTACTTTTTCTTTTTGTAATTGTATCATATCATAATCATTTGCTGAATTATTTTCGTGAAATAAAATGACTGGACTAAATATACGAAGCTAAGTGAAGGTTTAGTACATACTTTTATCTTTTTGTTATTACATTAGTTTCCATAGTAAACTGTAAAGAAAAAGAAGAAGTAAAGAAAAAAGAAGAGAGAGATGAATATTCTTTATATTTTTCAAGGGGTGCATAACAAAGGAAGGGTTTTAATTGATAGACACATCAAAAAGTGTAGATGTATTCAAACGTATAATTTGTTTCCCCCTTTTTTTTATTGCTGTCAAATAGCACCTTTTCTTATTTGACAATCCTCTCATTTGAACATCTAATATTTTGCATATAACAAGGAGATAGTAAGGGAGAAATACGGAGAAGATATATATATCATCAACTACAACACTTGACATTCTTTGTGTTGTTTGTTTTGATATTCTATTTTGTATTGGTGTGCCGAACTTTATGTTAACATTTAACCTAAAAGAAAAAGAATACTTTTTTTTCTTTTTTATTCTATTTCTGACATCTATCTTGATAAACAATGCAGCAAGTAGGAGGATAAAATTCTGCTATTGCTTCACATTTGGCAAACTTTTTTTCTTTTGTGTACAATCTGAGTTGCAATGTCAACATTTGAAGGAGGACAAGCCCCCCTCTCTGCCTAATGCAAGCCTGTAAAGCACTATAGTCATGCTAGCTTATCAAAACCAACTTTTACGCTAATCCTCATCATTCACTTAAAGTTAAAAATTGAAAAATAGTTGCTGTTTACCCTTTCACGTGAGACCAACAAGCACTTCTTTTTTTCCAACTGAGTTCGAATACAGCAGTAAAAAAAAATAATAACAAAGACGTAATGGCCCCTTTCTTTCCCTTTTTGCCTTTTTCTCATGAAAAGCCTGTTTCAACTTTTACACAGAAAATGCATTCGCTTTTATTTACGACAAAGACTAAAGTTTCAATACCCAGATATGACTATCTATACTTCTCAACGTAACATGTTGAGTTTATTTCATAACCTTACTCAACCAGGCCAATGCAGTGTAGTCACAACCAACCTGGCCATTAAAGAACAACAAATGCTGGGCAAGAGTGCTTTTCGTATACTTTCAACGCCCAATGCGGGTGGCTCGAGTATTTACAGTGAGGCATTGTCGATTGAGTTCTTGTCTCGACTCTTGGGTGTTGATCTCTTCAAGACCGAGACAGAGCTGATTTATGATTATCCTGAAGAAAACAATAATGGAGGCACCGGTCCTATCATGGATTATGCCTGCCATTACCAACAATTGACTCTAGGTGTTTCTGTCACTCGGGCCATGGCATATCAAAGACCATATACCAAACAAGATGCATATGACTTGCTGATCAAAAAACTTGCAGCTATTGTTAAATCAAGTCAAAATATCGCAAACACTAAATTTGATCGCCATATTCTGCACATATGGACCGAATCAGGCAAAAATGCGGCACTTGTAAACAAAATATGTCGCAAACTTAGAGTACATGAACAATGTAAAGATACCATTATTCTAATTACTACTGTAAATACTCAACTTGTCTTTTTTAATCATAACCTGTCTTTAATCAAATTACAGAGACAACAGCAATTCTACCAAAAGTCAGTGCGTTTTTTTACAAGAAATAAAGCATGGCTAGAGTTCTAAGCCCCCCTTCAGAAGTAAAAAAAAAGCAAGCACTCCTTAAAAAGGAGAAAATTCTAAATATTATATAAACGCCTCTGTATTATTGGATTTGTTTAAGAGAGAACATGTGCCAATTTAATAAACTATTTGAAAAGGTGATTTTGAGCCAGGGGACTTTTTTTATATAGAAACTCCTTTCTGTTTCCGCCCATATTTCTATATAAAGCGTTTTTTCCTTTCTTCCTCTTTCTTTTTTCCCTCTCTTTTTTCTTCTTCTTTACTTTTTTCTTTATTCAATTCATGCATCCAAAAGAAGCTCGTAAAGTAATTGCTGTTGATTTTGATCAAACATTGGCCCATACATTAGAAAGTCTAGTCAAATGGCATAATGATACATATTCGACCAACTTTAGTGTTACAGATTTTAATACGTATGACTATTGGAAGATCTGGGGTGGAACGAGAGAAGAAAGCTGTATGAAAATTAGAGAATTTTATGAATCTGAACATTTTGAACAAATTGAACCTATCCGAGACTTTGCATTGGAAGCCCTTAAGATGCTCAAGCGACGTCATTTTACGTTAGTCATCATCACTTCTCGTCAGCAATTCATTGCAGACAAGACAAAAAAATTTGTCGACAAACATTATCCAGGTAAGGAGTTCGGTGTAAAAACTAAGCAATAACCATGTGTATGTGTGTTACAGGCATATTTGAGAGTATCTATTTCTGTAATTTAGACTTGTCTAGCTCAGAGCAATTGGAATACATCTCCAAGCCCAAGTCACTTATCTGTCAAGAAATTGGTGTTGATGTATTGATTGATGATTCACTAGAGCATGCTCTGGACTGTTCCTCCCTGGGTATTGATATCTTACTCTATGACAGAAAAGGGCAGTACCGCTGGAATCATGAAGATAAACTAGTAGACAAGACTCCTATCAAACACACATTGACTTCTACTTCAAACCGAATACTGTATTCTTCACCTAAAGAAACCAAGAACATTCACCGTATGAAAAACTGGAGAGAGATTATTGCTCAATTCCCTAAACCCTCAAGTCCACTTCGATTCTGTTATTATCCTCCTGCTTATTCTGAAGAAGAAGAAGAGGAAGAAGAAGATGAAGACGATGATGGCAACTCTTATGAACAACCTGCATACCAACCTAGTTACTATGGCAAATATGAAACAGTGGAAGTGGAAGAACTTAGTGATGAAGATGAAGCATATCCTATTTGGAAAGAGAATCGTGTTTGGGTTTAAAAAAAAATGCTTATTCAAATACCCAAAACAATCCACATTGTACATTTCCCAAATCGCAGTTTTTTATATATATTTATATGACTTAATTATTTTTTTTTATGCTTTTCTTCTCTCTTTTTTTTTCTTTTTTTGCTTTAAAATAAAGGTAGTAAAAAAAATTTTTTTTAACATTGCTTTACCTAAATTTGGATTCTCGTCACGTTTCTTTCACTAGACAATTTTTAAACGTACACATACGAAAAAAGAAAGAGAGAAAACTTGAAAAAATAAAAAAAAAATAATAATACATGACTTTTGTTCACCCTCTTGAACAACAACAACTACAACAACAAGAAAAAAGTGTACCTGACATAATGTCCGTACAACAAACTCCGTCTTCTTCTTCTCCACCTCGTCATCAGCAACGAGCTTACTCTGTTACATCTATGCCGAGTGAACTACAAAAGTCGGTTATGAAGCATCAAGAAGCCGAGCATCAAGAAAAGATTCGACATAACCAACCTTGGTGGCAATATTACTATCAACTCTATCATTATCAACTTCCTCCTGGAAGAAAACCTACTGTTTTTGGTCCTTATTTATTGCTCCAAACCTTGGGTGAAGGTGAATTTGGTAAAGTCAAATTTGGTATCCAAGTAAAGACAGGACAAGAGGTAAGTAAGCCTATAGGTTTGCTCTTGTTGACCATATTCCTAGGTAGCTATCAAGTTGATCAGAAAAGACAGTATTGACTCTGCTTCACGTATGACTAAAATAGAGAGAGAAATATCTGTGTTACGAGTAAGAACAATGAAGTCAATCAAAAGAAGCCATGACTAATTGAAATAGGTTCTTCATCACCCAAATATTGTAGAGCTATATGATGTGATCGAAACTGAAAAGTACATTGGTATCATTCTACAGTGTGCAACAGGTGGTGAATTGTTTGATTATATCCTTGCTCATCGCTATCTGAAAGAAAAAGACGCAAGCCGATTGTTTGCACAGCTGATAAGCGGTGTTCATTACATGCATCAGAAACGCATTGTTCATAGAGATCTTAAATTGGTAAGCAGCTTTGATTTTACATAGGCTAACTGTCTTCAGGAAAACTTGTTGCTAGACAAGCATCGCAACGTGCTTATCACAGACTTTGGTTTCGCAAACCAATTTTCTTCAGCTCAAGACGATTTGATGTCAACTTCATGTGGATCACCTTGTTATGCTGCACCTGAATTAGTCATGAACCAAGGTGTGTATGTTGGACCTGCAGTTGACATTTGGTCTTGTGGTGTCATTTTGTTTGCCATGTTATGTGGTTATTTGCCTTATGATGATGACCCAGCAAATCCTGAAAGCTACAACATCAATTTGCTTTACAAATACATTCTAAATACACCCTTGATATTTCCTGATTATATCTCTGAAGAAGCATGCGATCTCATGAGCTTAATGCTTGTTCCTAATCCTGAAAAGAGATGTTCTATGGAAACCATCATGGCTCATCCTTGGTTGAGCCCTCATAAGCATTTATTTGTTGATAAGGAAGAGAAACAAGAAACAGAACAAGAAGAAATAGAAGAGGCGGTTGTTCCTGAACCTGTCAGAAGAAATACAGTGATGGAACCTGTTCAAGAAGATAAGGCATCCTCTTCGGCTGTCTTGATTGAAGAAGAAGAAGAAGAAGAAGAAGAAGAGAAGGAGGAGGAGGAGGAGGAGGAGGAACAAACAAAAGAAGAGGAAGGGGAAGCAATTGTTCCTGAAAATCAAGAGGATCAAGACATGAAGGATACGCCTATGCAAGAGCTAGAATTACCTCCTGCCGTCATTCAAGATGAAACGCAAGTTGAAACACCAAACAGCATTGAAACACCAGAAAATCAAACACCATCTTCACCTTTACCTACAGCAAACAAAGTTCGTCCTAAATCCACCGTATCTTCTTCCACTGAAAAGGTTCTTCATTTCCTTTCTGGTCATTCAAACACGCCAAAACCAACAGCCTCACGTAACACAAATGACAAGCGCACAAGGCACATGTCTTTAGTGTCTGAGCATGACGCATCATCACCTTCGATTCTTCAATCCAAGTTTCTATCTAGTCTCAACCATCAACGGAAGCAACAACAGCGACAACAGCAAACTTTGTCTTCTCCATCGCCTAATACAAGTGCAAGTACACCTCATCCTGCTAAAAAGACGCAACCCAAACGTAATGTACGTCTTAGCACTGTCACACCTCCTACGCCAACAGAAAGAGGCACGAGAAGAAAAACATTAAGTTTGTTGGTCAATTCAATGACAGACAATAAGATGTCGTTCAATCGTCGTCAAAGCCATGCTCGTCCTAACGAAGACAATACTCGTATTGAAATGATGCCTTCTGTTTCTGAACATACCATGAATACGTTGTCTGACAAGGACAAGCACAAGAGTACAGGCAAGAAACTCATGGATTGGTTTAAAAAGAAACCTTTAAGTAAGTACATAAAAAAATCTACATTACTGTAGACTTATTGTGTGTTATTAGGTACAATTCAAAAGTCTTCCAATCAACCTATTCATGACCCATTAATGCATGATCGTGTTCCCAGCAATCCAAGCCATGAGCCTAAACTACGCATTCATCACGGCGCAGTTGATCAAGAAGCATTAACATCAAGAGCGCCTGCTCAAGTATTGGTTGAAGTGAAACAAACCCTCAAATCACTTGGACTCGAATACAAACGCGATGGTAGTGAATTCAAATTAAAGTGTGTGCGACCCAAGCGTGCTATTGAGAAACGAAAGACACAAATACAACCATCCCATTTACACAATAATGGCACGCCCTTCCGAATGCTGTTGCGTAGAGCAAGTGCTTCACAACAAACAGACGATAAACCAGCTACCATTTATGGTGATCCTAACGCGGATCCTGGAGAAGAAGTTCGCTTTAGTGTCGAACTTTGCAAGATCAAGAATTTGCCTGGATTGTATATTGTCGATATGCGTCGAATGAGAGGCAATGTTTGGGCCTACAAGTTTATTTATCGTACCTTACTTGATACGCTCAAATTAGGTGGTAAGAGTGAGTATCTTAAAACGACCACACAAAAAAAGAAGACACCTCCATCTACAAGAGACAGTAGTAATCGCACCAGCATTATCAGTAGTAGTGGAGGAAATAGCAGTAGTGTTTTATTAGATGATCCTGCTACTACAACAACAAAAGAAATTGCAGTTTAAAAAAAAAAATAGTATCCCACCTTTAATCTTATATCTTTATCATACCCTCCACTTAATAAAGCAACATGTACGAAATAAGTATTTTATTTTTATTTATTATTATTAAATACATAAGAATGACGTCTGCATTACAATTCATCACGTACAGTATGGCGTCTCCAATGCTCAATAAGACCTTCAAGTGATTTTAATTGAGAATCAATGTGGGCAGCAGTTTGAACCTTGGCCTGAATCAAGTATTGACGAACAGTGTTGATGGCGCTTTGAACAGAATCCTTGGCAAAGTTAGACTTTTCATGGAATGTCTTCGAGAGATAGTTTTCAATCCAGTCGATATGAGCTTCAGTGTATCCAATCTTTCTATAGGTTTCCATTTCCTTTTGACGCCAGAAACGACCAAAGCTGTTCTTGGCATCATAAGCGCTTTGTGTAGCCTTGGAACGTAAGACAGAAGCAGAGGAAGCAGCAGCATCAGTAGCAGAGGCAGCAGCATCAGTAGCAGAAGCAGCAGCATCTGTTACATAGTCAGCAGCAGCACCAGCAGCAGAGGAAGCAGCACCAGCAGCAGAGGAAGCAGACCAGGCAGCAGCATCGGTAGCAGAAGAGGCAGCAGAAGAAGCAGTAGAGAGTGCACTACTGGCATAAGCATCTTGCTTCTTTAATGGGTGAACAACAGCTTGATAAATGCCATTACCGGTATCCTTGATGTATTGAGTAGCAGCGGCAAACAAGTTTTGAGACTTTTGTTTTGTTTCACCAGCATAATCCATGGCAAAAATCTTGTAAGCAATGACTTCCTCTTTTAAGGAATCGGCGACTTGTTGAGCTTGGTCTTTCTTCAACTTGCCTTGTGATTCGAGATCGTTGGCCAATTGCTTCCACCAAGAAGGAGTAGCCAAGTCTTGGATAGAATTTGATGTGTTCATGATGGCTTTCTTCAAGGTTTCTGTAACACTGTTGATCTCATCCTTGGTTAATTCCTTGTTTTCTTGTAAGCGTTGAACAACACTGGTGGTAAGCCAAGTGTGGAAAGAGCTGTCATCATAAAAGTGGTTAGCGGGTCCTGTACCAAAGATACGTTGGTACCAAGTAGGATGAGCAAAAGAACTCTGGATATCATTGGCGAGTTCCTTGTATTGAGCTTCAGTCAAGTATTTTTGTTTAAGAGCCTTGTGTTGATACTGGTCTAAAGCACGCTTGACCTTGTCTTGTGTTAAACTGCCGCTCAACTCAAGTTGTTTTAATTCATGAGAGAGGTCGTTCATAAGAGCATTGGCTTGGTTTGTGGCCAAGTTATAATTCTTTTCGAGCTTGATCTTGACACCATCCAATAAACGAGTGATGCTATTTGCTTGATCATTGATAAAAATATTAGCATTAGAGGCAGCTGCATCACGATATCTCTTAGCAGTTTCCAATAAACTTTCATCGCTTTTGTCATATGTAATTTGATATTTGTTAAGATAGGCTTGAACTTGGTCTTTTGTCCAGTTGGTCACATCTTCTACTTGTTCAGTAGCAGCTAAAAGACCCTTTAGCTTTCTTTCCTTTGTGTCTTAAATGATTATAAACTTACCTTTAGCTTGAGCTTGGTTGGCAAGCAAGAGAAGACAGGCAGCATAGGCCAAAGGAAAAGCGATATATCTTGAGGTTTTCATTGTATATGTGTATTAGAAAGAAAAGGTGTGAGAAAAGAGAAACTGAGTACGTGTAAAGTAGAGGATGAGGTTTTATATATGAGCTCAACGTCTCAAAATGCATAAAAATGAGGTCACCATGAAGCTGCTTTTATAAAGGATGAATAGTCACAACTACCCTTTTTTGGTGTTTGTAGATCCAACATGACGTAAAAAACAAAACAAGCTACAAGTACATCACATATACATCATTCTTTCTCGAAAATGTATTTTTCAAGACACGTTTGCGTCTCGATTTATTTTTTTGTCGTCCATGATTCTTATTGGTGCGGTCTTTATGGCTTGAGGTTGTTACTGTCAATGTGCTATTTTGACAACTACTGACTGTGTAAAAAATCATACCATTTTTATGTTGCTCAACAAAAGGGGACGAAAAAAGACAAGAATTGAATGCATGCTATGATCAGCCATGATCAAATAGAATCCGAGTGCAATGCACATGGCTATTATGAAGAATTAATCCATTGAAAAAGATATATAAATGATATACACATTATTTGCATAAAAGAAAAAAAAATGGCTTGATTTATGAGCCATCTCCCCAAATAAGCATTTGCGCCCCTCTTTTCCCCAGTAGCCCAACAAATGGTTTATCTCATTTATGTGTATATAAAAGCAGATAATCGTATTGTTTTCGACATATATTAAACAACAATGAGTACTACTACAGCAACAATAACGCTTGCTTCAAAGGAACAAGGAAAATTTCCACCTTACGCTTATACACCTACAGAAGACCGTCAATTGCCCCTAGCAAATCCAGTGCTACCTCCCTTATTTGATGGACCTACTACATGGAGCAATTTTGTTAGTCGGGTTAACTGGTTTCAATCAATCCTCTTAACCTCTACTCCTCTTTTGGCTATTTACTTGGCTTCTCAAACACATTTACAAACAAAAACCATGTATTGGTCTCTCCTGTATTATCTGATAACAGGTCTAGGCATCACAGCTGGCTACCATCGTTATTGGGCACATCGCTCTTATGATTGTACACCACTCACTCGCATTGGTTTATGTCTGGCAGGTTCTGGTGCTTTTCAAGGTTCTATTCATTGGTGGTCTCGAGGCCATCGTGCTCATCATCGCTGGACAGATTCTGATAAAGACCCTTATGCTGCTCCTCGAGGATTCTTCTTTTCCCATATTGGCTGGATGCTCATCAATCGTCCTAAGAATAGAATTGGATATGCTGATACAGCTGACTTGAAAGCAGATCCTCTTGTGCGTTTCCAACATCGGTACTATCTCTACTTTGCTGTCTTTATGGCCTTTGTCTTTCCTTGTTTAGTAGCTGGTCTTCTTTGGGGTGATTATAAGGGTGGTTTTGTCTATGCTGGTCTGTGCCGTCTTGTGTTTATTCATCATGCTACTTTTTGTGTTAATAGTCTTGCTCATTATATTGGCGAAAATCCTTTTGATGACTACCATACACCCAAAGATTCTTGGATTACTGCTATTGTGACATGCGGTGAAGGATATCATAATTTCCATCATGAATTTCCCCAAGACTATCGTAATGCTATCCTCTGGCATCAATATGACCCTACCAAATGGCTTATCAAAGGCTTGAGCTTCTTTGGCCTCACATATAATCTCAAGACGTTTTCATCCAACGAAATCGAAAAGGGCAAAGTTCAAATGATGGAAAAGAAAGTGGATCAAATCAAGAAAACGCTTACGTATGGTAAATTATTACATGAACTCCCAGTGTATACCATGGAAGAATTCCAGGCTCGTGTTAATCAGGAAAACAAGAAATGGATCTTGTTGGATGGTATGATTTATGATGTGGAGCATTTTGATCATCCCGGTGGTGCCAAGTATCTTTTTGCTGGTATAGGTAAAGACATGACAAAATCCTTTAATGGTGGTATATATAATCATTCCAATGGAGCTCGAAATTTGCTTTCTAGTATGCGTGTGGGTGTTATCAAAGATGCCATTGATTTGAGCAAGGTGTATTCTAGAACAGACGCCTGTGCCGAGAAAGCTGCTGAATATGACGGTTCTTTAGAGCCTGAAAAGAGAAAAACCATGTAAAACATTCTGATTAATCATTGTAAAATAAACTTCTTATCAAACAAAATATGTCTCACTTCGCTTTTTGATTAAGAATGTGATAAAATGTCTTAATTGACATCTGCGCGAGTGAAAAGTAAGATTATCATCCAAGAAAAATGGATGATTTTTCAGACAACACCATTTGAGTTAAAATTCAACAGCTTCTCAAGAAGTAAAAAACTAAGCTATGAAAGGAAAGTCATATTATGATCGTTTTACTGCTTGCACATAGCTTTAAAAAAAAGGTTTCTGTTTGGGCGACAACTTTTTTTATCAGCAGTAGACAGTGTCGCCCAAACAACAAACCCCTAAATAAATTATGCAGTACTACACTAATACTGCGCGGGCTTCATTCTTCTTTTGATTTAAGCTAGAAAGAAAAGTTCTTGAGAATTACAGTTGCCTGTAATAAGATCCTTCATAGTGATTTTTAAGACTTTTGTGGAAATTCTGCAACCAAATTTAAGGAGTGCTTTTATCCAATAAATTTGCACATTTGGCTTGTGCATGAATATACTAATTTTTTTAGAAAAGTACGTCAACTTTTTCTTCGAATAATTTTTCCGTCTGGTGTATTATTAATCAATTTTAACGGGGAGAGAAATATAAAAAGACTATTGCTTTGTAATCCTACAACCCCTATTCTTCTTCTTTCTCGAAAACCATGTCTGGTAAGACAACTGGATAATAAGGCAAAAGACTGAATTGTTTAGATAAACTTGTCCTCTACAATGCTCCTGTTTGCCCCTATGCTCAACGTGCTTATATTGCCTTAAAGGAAGTAGGCGCTGAATTTGATGTTGTCAACATTGACTTGCTTAACAAGCCTGATTGGTACAAGGATGTCAACCCTGAACTCAAGGTACCTGTCTTGGCTACTGAAGGTCAAAACCTTGCGGAATCCCTCGTTATTGTCGAATACATCAATGACCGTTTTCCCGAGAAAAAGTAAGTAGAACATATAATCGTATATGTAAGGCTTATGTGTGTATCCTTAGCTTGTTACCCAAGGAACCCATTAAGCGCGCCAATATTCGTTTCGTGATTGAATATTTCGCTTCCAAAGTTGCACCTGAATTCTATAAATTACTCGTGAACTTCAAGGCTGAAAATGCAAAGGCCGATTATGAGAAGAACCTTAATACAGCTTTGGTTCGCGTAAGTTAGATTTCTTTCTGGGATTACGTAAAGACTCATTTTTTTTGTTAGCTCGATGAACTTTTAAAGCAACAATCTGCCACAGGTCCTTATTTCCTCGGTGAACAATTCTCTTTGGCTGATGTTGCTATTGCACCTTTTGTCATTCGTATTCATACTATCAACCAAACGCTCTTGAACGGTCTTGAATTAGAAACTGTCAAGTCTAGCCCCAGACTTACTGAATTCATCAAGGCTCTCATTGCAAGACCTAGTGTTCAAGAAACATGGATCGGTGACAAGGAATTGGTTACTTTCCTTCAAAAGCGATTCATTGACAAAGAATAATTTCCTTGTATATATAATAAAAAAATTGTAAAAATATGAAGTTCTCTGTTTTTAGTACGTGTGTGTATTATTTATGCAGAGGTATGTGCATTATAAACAATGCTCTTATTTGGATGCAATATTCAGTTATTAGCTTCTATTTCATAGACACTAATCTCAAATCTAAAAAAATGTGTATCCGGACTTTTAATTATCCGAGTTCTTGTTCTTCCATTTCTATAAAAAGAATGCCATGGCTCTTTCGCTCGATTATCAGAGTGATAACCGTAGGACCTCCCTACAAGGCGGTTCAACGCTGGATTCTAGCCATAAACCAGGTAGTTAACTATTCTCTTATTAGTTATTTAAAGACGCTCTTAAAGCTCAAAAACGACATAGTTTTGAAATGTCACCAAATATTGAGAATGGTAGTCTCAAACCTCTCAACGCCTATTCAACTTTTGTGGAAGCTAAAGAACGAAACTCCATTGTAATCGACTGTACTCAATTTCTGGGTATGGAGTTTAAGGACAAATATTTACTCAAAATACTGCGCGAACAATTTCCTAAATGCCTTGGCCTCAAACCTACTACTCAAGACACCAGAGATGATTCCTGACCTGATCATGGCTGGTGATTTTAATTTTGGTTTCGATATCGCAATCAAACACTTTACAAAAACAAAAGCTAAGCCTCAACAACTAATTGAATTCATAACGGGTCATATAAAAGACTGCATAAATCAACAAGGCGAGCGATACGAATATACCTGCATCCAAAAGCGAAGCGACAAGGTATTTTTATCAACTATAGACTACATATTTGCCGGACCCAACACTTTCAAGCAAATGTCAGATGGTGAGGTGGAGTTCCTGAGTGACAAATACACAGATCATGCACTACTAAAGAAAACTCTGACTATTGAGCTACAGAACAATGGAAAGGCATATAGAGAGGCGACCCCTATCTTGCCAAAAATGAAAGATGCACTAAAAAATTGAAAAGCGAACTTGACAAATATATATAACACAAGTTAGACCCGGCAATGCCAGTACAAGACAAGTGGGATTCGATCAAGAACATGGTTAAAAAGTAATAGCCAACTTCTCCCCGTCACCATAACCAGTGGAGAGAAAAGAAATTAAAAGAGCTGAATAGAAAACGAAACAAGTTGCTACGACTCCAAGGCTAAAGAAGGTCTGGGGCTATCAAACTTGCTTGCCCAACAGGGATCTCTACAGATGAGATATATTGAAACTCTGCTCAACTATAGGCAATTCAAACGAATCCCAAAGTACCTGTATGATATGATGGTATACGTTCTTCAAGTCGAAACGAATAGCTCAGGCCTTGAATCCACTGTACTCTTCCCCGACTCTAGTTACAAAACATCTGTGAACAAGGAGGGTGCACTCGGATTGATCTTTGAAACAATGGATATTTTGACAAAGTTCTGTAGACCAAAAAAAAAAAAAAAAAAAAAAAAAAAAACGAAGCCCACATATCATTATCAACAATCGATTGCATGACTCTATCACTTTCAGCTGTTTGCAAAGATTGGGAAGACAACACTGAGCTGACATTCATTAGCAGTCCAACCGCAAAGAAAAGCCTAGTTCAAAATTCTACACAACAGAATCCCTAGCAAGCAATTTCTACACGGAAGACGAATAAAAGACATCGAAAATGATCGATGTGTCAGTTGCAACCAAACAGAAGATGCTAAACATCTGCTGATCTCTTGTGGAAATAAGGCAATGATTTGGCAAGATGCATTCAACAAGTTCCTTGGCTACCCAACCGGAATTAATACAGATAGAATATTCCAAGGCCTTAAAAAGCTTAGACTTTCGAGATATCTCATCTACAATTTAGATGTAAATATCAACATATATGACTTCTTCGCGACAATTATTCGATCAATTTGGTATAGCCACCTCCAACATTATTTCCATGGAGTGCCTTTTGACCCTGAAAACATTTCCGAAAGAATCACCAAAGAAATACTAAAGATTTCAAAAATGAAGAAGAAAACAGTAAAATAGTTAATACAAAATGATAATATGACTAGTCACTTCACTCTATGTACAAATAAAATTTCATTCAATGCAAAAAGAAAAGAAAAAAAAAAGAATGAAATAAAACAAAAACTCATCCAAAAGTACCTAAAAACAAGGAGCCATCAGCATGCAACATTAGCAAAAGTCGTAAAAATCAATAGGCCACATCTAATGGTGCAAAGAAAGCAATATATCTACTATCCAAATTTAGAGTTATCTGTCAAAAACATGTTTTTCGTTTTAGGGCCATATAACTTTTGCAAATCCAACACTTTGGGTGTATTCTATAGGTCCAGACAAACATTTCGTACTATGATATATCATAGTAGAGAGTTGCCCTATCACTGGCAAATCAAGATATTGTGAAAATGAAGAAAATCCTCAAAGGGTAGTAAGGGCTTTCGATAATTTTTGGCCATTTCGAAAAGTGTTGTCTTTTTCTATGGAAATGATCTGTTATATATTCTGACGGATAGAACACTTGAAAAAAGTAGATTGGAAGAGGTCATTGCGAGAAAAAAGGGCATTTTATTAACAAAAAATAGAGAAATGTGAAGTGTGAGTTATATTTTTTCTTTATAGAACAAAAAACATGATAAATAAGTATGTATATGCAAAAAAAAAAAGGAGCAGCTGGTCTCATTTAGCCAGTAAAGATTCTAAAGATAAGGTAAAGCGTAGAACCAATGAATCGAATGGCTGCTAAACCAGCTACAGACCAAAGAATGAAACCAAGGTAAGCAGCAGAACGATCACCTGTTGTGATCACAGATGTGTTTGTAATAGCCACAACAAGAGCCAAGTTGGAAACAATCCAAGACAACACAATTCTGGTACGGAAAGATCTGTAGTAATCTTCTTGCTTGGTTTTTGCATCACGATGAGACTTCTCAGGTTCGATCTTCTTGGTGAGTTCGACTTGAGCATCAACGTAAGCAGCATTGATATCCTTTTCTTCCACAGGTACTTCAACTTCGACAGCCAAGTCACCAGATTTGTCCTTCTTGGCTTTGACAACACCCAAATCTGTGGCTACTGTGTTATCACCCTTTGTACCCCAAGACACATCGTGTGTGTTACAGAAGGCATAAATGTTAAGAACGTTGGTATAACTGGGAGACAACAAGATGTACTGGATGAAACTACTGAACATGTGCCAGGGATCAAGAAAAAGGAAACTGGAAACAAAGTAAAGAACATAGGTAGAACATAGCGAGATGATGATGTTTCTGAATGAACTTTGCTCAAGCATAGAAATAAATGATCCGTCCGAAGTCTCCACAATCACTCGAACGCCTGCAACCGTAATCCAGATAGCAGCAAACATGATGTACACCATGAGGAAAGCGAAAAAGATCATAGACAGAGTATAAGCAAGTTTAGAGCCTTGAGGACGGTTACCCATAGCAATGATGAATTGGACAACAAGCAAGATAATGTAGATATAGTTCAGAATATTGTGTAAAAGACTAGCAGCAGTTTCAGAGAAGGGAGGGTTTTGTAGACCACTCACACTGGGGATGAGAGCACGTGTCAAGATGAAGAAAGTGAGGTAAAAGTTACCCAAAGCAAACCAAGAAAAGATTAAGTTGTAAGTATTGTAAAGATCTTCCACCATGAACATCATCTTACGGATATAAGAGTGATCAGAAGCCCAAACCTTACGCCAATGATAAAGAGCATAGATACCAGCAAAGAAGGAACCGTTAAGCCAACGTCTACGTTGAGAAATGAATTCGTCAACTTTGTCAGGAACATCGGTTTCACCATAAGAACTAGACACATAATGCAAGACCCAATGGGCTTTCTTTTTGGCAACCAATTCATAACACAAGATACGATCTTCAGCCAAATACATATTGGCTGTGAAGATATCAGCATCACCACCGTGTTGAGTTTCACCCAAAAAGTACTTTTCTAAAGGACCATGGCCATCCACATCATTTTGAAGGGCTTTGAATCTATAGGCTGAGAAAGCACCTGGTAACACAGAGATATAACCAAATACAGATTCAAGAGGCTTATCCAAAATATTAGACATTTTGTATTCAAAGTTTTGAGCAGCGACTAAAGGGTTCAAAAGAGCGACGCCACCAGTACCAGCCATGGCACGAATTTCACCACAAGCACCAGCAATGTTGGAGTTAATATCAAATGCTTTCCAAAGATGATAAATTGAAGTACCACCAGGTCTAGTACCAACATCAATCAAGACACAGACATGAGGATCTAGAATTGGACTAAAGGCTTGGAAGAACCAACGATGAGAGTTAATCTTTTTGGCATTCTTTTCCTTAAGACAGAACAAGAGCTGACAAGGCGCCACATTCTTTGAACCAGCTTTTTTGACTTCCATCTCTGGATCCACAGAGATTTGTGTTGTATATTCATAAATGTGAGCAGTCACTGGTTTGCCGTGCACAACGTTCTTGGCAACACCATCTTGGTAGACACCTAAAAGAGACAAGACGTTCAAGGTACGAGGGTTGATCTTGGTACGACCATCAGAGACAATACATACAGTCACCTTATGCCATCCTGGTCCACCAGAAGCAGGTCCCCAAGTACTGGAACGATCACGAGAACAAAGATGAGCAATGTTTTTCATAACACCATGCATGGTACGTGTAAACAAAACTTCGTCTTCCTATCACTGGCTTAGCTATTTGCTCTCTCTCTCTCTCTCTCTCTCTATTTCAATCAAATCCTCACTTACATTGTACATGGTCAAGACAATAAACAATTCTGTCTTACGTCCGAGCATTTGTTGACGAAGAGTATAACCTTCGCTCACAAAGTCCTTTGGATCACAAGTAGCAGCAGTATAACGCATGTGTGTGAATTCCTTTCCTTCCTTCAATGGCACGTCCTTTAAATAAGCAGTAGGCACTGGACAATCCAGAACCAAGTTACCTTTTGTCAACTTGACTTGTCTGGCTATATAGAGTAGTTTTTAGTTATAAATAAACCCTTATGTGCGCAGTATTACTTACTTGTCTTGTAACGACGAGGTTGGCGTTTAGGAACTTCACCATAATGCATGCTGGGTGAGGGAGGGTTGAAGAATTGAGGAGTTGCGGGTGAGCTATCACCACTATATGAAGGATAAGGTGAGACTCCACCAGGACTAGGTGGACCTGGAGGATAAGGATGAGAGGGATATGAGGTTGGAGCCATGCCAGAAGCTAAAAGAGGTTGTTGATCATAAGCTGGCATATGTTGATCTGCTGGATAATGGTCGTCATCGAAAGGTGAACGAGTTACAGGTGGCTGGTTAGAGAATTGCGTGTCTTGAAGAGGATATTGGTCATGCTCTTTTTGGCCAGGTGGTGGTTGATACATTTTGTTTCAACTAATCAGTTGGAAAAGAAGAAAAAGAGAAGAAAAGAAAAGAGGTTTGAGAATAGCTTAGTTTTTTTTATATATATCACCTTTGTGCAACCTTTTGGGGCTGGGTTCATCAATTATAATCGGATTTTACAATGTCCTGAAATAGGGTTCATGTTGACCAATGGATTACTGCTATTTTGTGCAATTAAAAGGTCAAAGTTCTGTTGCTAATTTATTTTTAAATTAGCCACACATTTGATTGAATATTGACTAAATTGGATAATAAATTTACAAATTTATACAAACATACAAATATACATTAAGTATGCTTGTAGCTTAGAAACTGCTAGAAGAAGAACCTTTTAAGCCTCGTCACTGCTTAATTTTGGATTTCAAAGTAGTTTGGTCTCCATCTTCTTTTTCATCTATATGCAGAGGCAGATGCTTGTAATATCGGCAGTTTAGTTACCAATATAAAAATAAACTAAAAAAAAAGAGCTTTGCCATGTTCTCAAGCAGGTGGATCAAGAGACAAGCGACAATAAGAATGTTACACTTTGTACGCTTTTCGTAATTGCTATTCGATTTTACTACCATCTTGAGTCGATTGACCGATTGTTATCATTTTGCTTTTTCATTCCTTGGTGAATTTTGATCTATTATCAACACTTATAGATTCGGGATAGCACAAGCCAAACCAAGCTTACTTTTTTGTAAAAGATACAGCCACAACAAAACATACATCAGGTTCATTTTAAGCCAAAACAAGTTTTTTTTTTTTTTTTTTTTTTTTTTTTGTAAAAAACTTTCTGTATATGATACATATACTGAACAGATTTGGAAGCGTGTTCCTAAATCTTGCGAATGATGAAATCAAAATAGCTAGCTTTTCTTGGCCTGGCAAAGAATTCTAAATGTGCTCACATGAGTTGATCAGATAGAAAGAGGATAAACCGAGCTCTTGACTGGCTTAAAGACGAGGTTGTACTATGTGTGCTGCAAAAAAAAAAAAAAAAAAAAAAAATTACTTTAATGGAAATAAAGTCTTGTAAGACAAGCTTATTCACAGGGAAAAGCATTTTTTGATTTTCTGAAAGCCAACATTTTTTAAGTAGTTTTTTACCTTTTTTTTTTCTTTCATTGATGGGCTGAAAAAAAGAGGATCCTTAACAATGCTCAAGAGGCGTACAGCTCATACAATGGCTTATCACTTTAACGGTAAAGCCATTCTCTTAATTGAATGCTTAAGCTACAACTGAATTATAGAAAACTCCCCCCTCCCACTAGTGCGTATGTATGATGCAATGACCAAGCTGTTTCTAGAGAAAAAGACATAGATATATAGATATATATATATACAAACTTTTATTTATTGCAATTTGGATCTCAAAGTGTCTTCCAACTTTTGACCATCGCTGGCAAAATTACGGATACCTTCAGAAAGTTTCTCTGTAGCCATGGCATCTTGATTCATTTCCCAACGGAAAGACTTTTCATCATTGAAATAAGATACTTTGTCCAACTTTTCATCTCCCTTGGGGTTTAATTTACGTTCCAACTTGCCCTTATCTTCCTTGAGTTCTGCCAATAGTTTGGGTGAGATAGTAAGGAAATCGCAACCAGCCAATTCCTTGATTTCGTCAGTATTACGGAAGGAAGCGCCCATGACAATGGTCTTGTATCCGAATTGCTTGTAGTAATGGTAGATCTTGGAGACAGAGACAACGCCAGGATCTTCAGTACCGGAATAGGTCTTGCCAGTAGAGGCCTTGTACCAGTCCAAGATACGGCCGACAAAAGGAGAAATCAAAGTAACACCAGCTTCAGCACAGGCAACAGCTTGAGGGAAACCAAACAAGAGAGTCAAGTTACAGTGAATACCGTGCTTGGTCTCAAGTTCATGAGCAGCTTGAATACCTTCAAAAGTAGAGGCAATCTTGATCAAGACACGGTCTTTGTCAATACCTTCTTCCTTGTATAAAGCGATCAATCGCTTGGCCTTTTCAACAGTTCCTTCTTTATCAAATGAGAGACGAGCATCGACTTCAGTGGAGACACGACCGGGAACAATCTTGAGAATTTCTTTACCAAAGTTGATCAATAATCTGTCAAATGCCCAGCTGACTTGTTCGTCAAGAGAACTAGTTTTGTGTGTGTGAGTACCATTGTATTCTATTTGATTAAAAAACTTACCCTCCCTTCTTTTTACCGAACTCAATAGCTTCATCCATGAGCTTTGCATATTCAGACTTTTGAGAAGCAGATAGAAGCAAAGAGGGATTTGTGGTTGCATCTTGAGGTTTGTATTCAGCGATAGCTAATAAAACTAGTTAAATATCTCTTATCTGATTCCCTTATGCCTTACTTTCAAAGTCACCAGTATCGGCGACAACGGTTGTATATTCTTTAAGTTGGTCAAGTACAGAAGTCATGTTTACAAATAATTAAAAAAAAGAAAAACGAAACAGAAAAGAAAAGAAGAATGCTCGGTTTTTTATATGAGTCAAATACTAACGATTGCATAAACATTATGATTTCATGATCTCAACACTGATATAGCCAAAACTAAATTCAAATCTCCGCTTCAATAGATCTTCTAAATGGAGAAATAAGGCTAAACCAATTTTCCATTTTCTATTGGCAACTATTAAATCGTATTACATGACGGATAAAGAATTACAGATCGAAATAAAACATAAAGAAAGCAAGACAAGACTTAGTCATACTAATTGACTAAGAGAAAAAACCAAACAGCAGATTGCGTGACTGTTCCAAATGGTATTTATATAATTCCATTTCCCTTTTTCCTCTCTTCCTCTTCTTTACTCTCTTATCTTTCCCTTTATCAGTTCGATATGCCTAACTCAACTTTTCCTGCAGTCATTTCATTTGCAGACAAGAAAAATTCTACCCCTGTCATTACTGCTAAATTCGGTGATGAAAATGATGAAGACTTTGGTATTCGTATGGCCAACGCAGTCGAAGTAGAAGAAATCGATGTGAATTTGTACATGAGTAAGGAATTATGGTTACCTGCAGGTGCACGTGGTGCTTTTGGCGGTCAGGTATGTTATTTTTGTGTGTGTCTGTTTGTCAACTCAAATTATATTAGATTGTTGCTCAAGCTTTAAGAGCCGCTTTTTATACAGTCGAAGAAGAATTTGATGTTCATGTAACGTCATAAAGTATTCTAGATTGATTTTTTAACATTTTCTTCTAGTCTCTTCATAGTTACTTTATTTTACCGGGAAATGTTGAAATGCCTGTCATTTACCAAGTTCAACGTCTTCGTGACGGTAGATCGTATGCTACTCGTTTTGTAACAGCATCCCAAGGAGGCAAGGCTATCTTTGTCTGCAGTTTTGGTTTTGCTAAACCTGACAAGAACATCCAAGTGACACATCAAACACAAATGCCAAAGGTTCCTGAACCTGAAACCCTTCCTTCGTAAGTAATTACATTGCCGAGTTATTATCTCATTCGTATACATATATAGTGAGGTTGAATTATTACAAAAGGCTTTAGAGAACAAGGATTTACCACCTAAATATCATGAACATATCAAACTTCGCATTGAGGAAAGTTCTCCTGTTGATTATCGTGAAATCAATGTACCTTCACCTTCTTTTCAGGCTGTAAGTGGACATGCGTTCTTGTTTGGATTCTAACCTATGTGTATAGCAACGTTGGTTCAAGACAAGAGGTCACCTCGCCTCCGATAAAAGACTTCATGCCTGTGTGATCGCCTATGCTTCTGATAGTGGTTTCATTGGTGTAACTGCTAAAGCAAACGATATTCCTGCAACAAAAATTGGTATGTTGATCAGTTTGGATCATGCTGTCTGGTTCCATGCTCCTGCTAGAGCTGATGAATGGTAAGAAGGATAGAGAGACAAAAAGCATGTCACTCATAGTCACGATAGGTTGCTTTATGATATGCACAGTCCTCGTACAAACGATGGTCGTGGTATTGTGTTTGGCAGAATCTATAACAAGGACGGTAAATTAATCGCAACTACTGCACAAGAAGGTGTTGTTCGCTTAACAAAGAAAGAGATTGAAAACCGCACAAAGCAAATGATACCCAAAGAGAGCAAATTATAGATTTAAATAGTGTATTTATGTTAGAATTTGTATAATAATAAACAAGTAGAGAGATTGTATCGTCATCTTGGGCTATTGGTATTCTAATGAATGCATAACTGTTTTACTAATTGAAACATGTAATGTTTTTGTATAAAGAAACAGACGGAGACTCAATTTAGTGATGAGCCAAAAGTGCATTATAAATCATCAACATACGCCTAAACAGAAAAAAGCAAAGGAAACAAGAGAAGCATGGGTACTTTCTGTCTCTCTTTCTGTTTGTTTTTGTGTGAGTGTGAGTGTGTGAGTGTGTGTGAGAGTATATAGGGATAAAGTGTTTTCCTAAAAGAAAAGAAAAGAAAAAGAGCGTATAAATGTCATTTTTTTTTCTATGAATTGTTTCTGTACACAATCATGTGAAAATGATGCGGGCCACAATTGCCCCGAGAATCAACTATAAAAGTAGCATAAGCTTCCTTCTTATTCTTCTTTCTTCTCGAACATGCCTCCTTACGATATTGTTGATACGTGGCGAACTGTTATCTCCCCACAAAGACTTGCTCTTTATACACTATTCCCCATCTTTTGTTTACTCATTCTAGCCATCACACCACCACAATTTATGGGTACAAGGCTGAAGCAAGTCATCTCTTTTCCATTGATGGCTAGTTTGTTGATAAACCCATTCAGCTATAGAGATGAAATAAACAGTAAGTAAGAAGCTTGGTTGACAGTATTGATGTTCAATCTGATTAGGCCCTTTTTGTCTTTTCTGTCAAATGATCCCTGTGACCATGTTCCAGCGATTTAGTGACATCTTTTGGATTCAACCTTGGCTTTACAAGAAGGAATCGTACGTGTCTATTGCTGAACTCAACCATGAGATATGGTCGAGTGTTAGAAAGGCACCAAAAAAAGATGCTAAACAGCCTATCAAGGATAAGGTAAGTGGCTTACAGACAGTAACAAGAAAGCTTATGTCAAACACTAGAAATTCTATCATCTTTTTCCTTCCATGTTGTTGAATGCAATTGGTTTTGATATGGCGATTGCTTGGGTAAAAACATTTACAGCTAAAGATGTGTATGAAATGGAAGCCAATCCCTCTATTAAATACTTTATGTTCTTTTGTGCTGGCATCATGTTAATGACAACCTTGTTTAATCTGGTGGGCAATATGATGCAATTATGTTATAGTGTCTTTGTTGATAATGGTGATTATGCTCCAGGTAAAAATAACATTATAGTTTATTGTGTAACCATTCTTTTATAGAGGAATGGCGAAATATCATGGAATACCCTTTGGCTGGTACATCTTTAGAAGACATTTGGTCTCATCGCTGGCATAAAGTATTGCGTCCTGCATGGGTGGCATGCGCATTTAAGCCTGTGTTCTTTATGGTACGCAAATCAACTAACAATAGCCCTCAAGGTAAACAGTTAGCCATTGCTTTGGCTTCGTTATCTGTCTTCTTGGCCTCAGGTATTGCACATGAATATGTTGCATTGTGTAACACAGGCTGGTCGATTTATAAAGAGCACTTTATGGGTCAAGAAATGCTTTTCTTTGGACTTCAAGGTATCTTGGTCATTATCGAAAAAGCATTAGGCATGTGGCTCAAGACTGTATTGCCTGCTTCTTTTATTCGTTCCCCCTTGGTTCTTATGGCAAGAAATGCCTATGTGCTCAGTGTGGGTCTAGCTACATTTCCTTATTTTATCAATAGTTTTGCAGACTGGGGATTCTGGAAATTTGATAATTTGACACCCATTGAACCTTTACTTAGACAATACTTGATTCAAACACCTTATTTACGTCCATTCTGTGGATCTCTTACTTAGGTTATATATAAAATATCTATCTTTTGGCATTCTTTTTTCCTTTTTTTTATTAATGGATAATATATAAAAAAAAACACTTAGAATCTATTGATATTGAATATGTTAGTTTTATCACATCAAATACGCTTATATGTCTTTCTTACCTGTTGTAAGCCATGTTACCACGAACTCTAGTGTAATCAGTCAAACATTCAACAGGACCGTGACCAACAACAGCAAGTTCTTGATCCCAGAGGAACTTGTAAGCGGTCTTGCGGATATCATCAACAGAGATCTTGCTGATGGTAGCCTTCAATTCTTCAGGACCCAAGTGCTTACCAGAAGCAAGGACTTGAGAACCAATGGAACTGGCAACTTGGCAAGTGCTATCATTGCTCAACAACAAACCAGCCATGACTTGTTGCTTGGCACGTTCAACTTCGGAAGCAGTGACAGATGTAGAGAGACGGTTCCATTCCTTTTGAAGGAAGTGAACAAAGTCATCAATTTGGTCTTTGTTGGAAGTAGCAACGTACATACCCCACAAACCAGTGTCCTTGTATCCCTTGGTGAAGGAAGAGAAAGAGTTGGCAAGGTGGTGTTCATTGACGATGGTAGACAATCTAGAAGAAAGGTTGGCAGCAGCACCTAAGGTCTTGTCCCAAGAACCGACAACGGCTTGCATGACGAGCAAGTCAAAGTATTCCTTGGAGAGGTAAGGAGCACCTTCAACAGCAAGAGCAATGTGGGCTTCGGGCAAAGTATCATCACGGAGACGGACTTCAGAACCAGTGAAGGCAGCCTTCTTTTGGACAGCAGCACCAACAGCGGAAAGAGAACCGAACTTTTGTTCAGCAAGACGAACGAGTTCTTCGTGGTTAACGTCACCGGAACCAACGAGAACAATACGGTCAGAACCGTAGTTTTGCTTCTTGAAGTTGAGGATATCATCAGCAGACAAGCTTTCAACAGATTCCTTAACACCAGCAGCAGGGCGACCCAAGGATTCACCTTGGAAAGCAATAGCGTGCAAGTGGTCGAAAACAACGTGTTCAAAGTCGGCATCGAGGCTAGCTTGTTGCTTCAAGACATCGGCACGAACACTGTCAACAGCAGCAGCATCAATCTTGGTGTTTTGTAACAAATCGGCAAGGACTTCAACAGAAGCACCAACGTTGGACTTTAAGGTTTTGGCGGCAAAAGAAGTAACATCGCGTTGAGTTTGAGCGTTGAGAATACCACCAATCTTTTCAAACTTTTCAGCTTGACCCTATATATATATATATATGAATTGATCAATATCCATTGCTTGTCTTTTTCTTCATCTTATTCTCTCTCTCTCTCTCTCTCTCTCTCTCTCTCTTATTGTGTGTGTCCCTCTCTCATTTTTTTATTGTCTATCTTTGTTGTAATTACCTTGAGGGCAATGTGTTCCAAAACGTTGGCAGCACCATTGGTAGTGGCGGTTTCATTACGAGAACCAGCATCGATCCAAACACCAACAGTGGCAACACCAGCAGAAGGGTTTTCTTCGGTGGCAACAGTGAGGCCGTTAGGCAAGTTGGTGATACGAGTAGCTGAAGCTTGCTTGGCAGCAGTGGCCATGGGGCGAACAAACTATAAAAAAAGACATATAAATGAGCATGCGATGGTTGTTACTGATGATGTCGTACCTGCTTGGTCAAACCAACATTAGCTTGAAGGGTGTTGCTAAGGAGCCTAGAAGCCATTTCAATAGTTTTAGAGTGGGGAGAGAAACAATAAATAGAAAAAAAAAAGAGGAAGGTATAACCAGTTTTTTTTTTTTTTTTTGCTAGTCGATGGCCTAGGAAGGCCCTTTCAAATTTTTATTTTCGGGGTTGTGGCTCTCGTGTCGACGTCATCAATAAGACGATACACACACACAGACATACAGTTTTGCATTAATAAAATTTTATTATGCTCTATGTTACATTGTTTATGAAGAACCACTACTAGCAAACCATTTGACAGACTTATCATCAGAACCAGAGACAAGTTTGGTTCCTTCTGGATTCCATTGAATACCCCAAATCTACATATAAAATCAGTTTATACTAAATAAACAACTTGATTTTACCTGATCTGTGTGCACTTCGTGTGTTTCTAATACTGATCTTAAAGAGAGATCCCAAATCTTGACTTTTTTGTCAGATCCGCAGCTTGCTAACTGTTGCTTACTGATATCAGGATTAGCAGCAACTGACAAGACCCAATCTGAGTGGCCTGTCAAGGTAGAAGCCAATTGTCCATGTTCAATATCGTATACATGAATGCACTTATCATCACTACCACTGATCAATGTCTTACTATCACTAGCAAAAGAAAGGGCACGCACAGCCATAGCATGACCTGATAAAGTATGTGCTAATTGATTTGTCTCTACATTCAATACATAAATAGCACCATCTTCAGCACCACCAGCAACATATCTTCCATCAGGACTCTATCCAGCGTAAATAAATAAGATACGATACTATACAACTTACAAAAGCAATAGACATGATGAACTTGTTTTTGGTAGGCAAACTGTTGACTTTCTCGCCTGTTTCAATATTATAGAAATTGATATCGCCATTGTGTGAACCAGTAGCTACAAGCTGACCATCAGGACTGAATTTGGCTTTCCAAGCTTCAACTGGTGCTGCTGTAATCGATTTGACAAGTTGTCCATTAGTTAGATCCCAAATACAGATATTTGAATCGACTGAAGTAGACACTAAACGAGTACCATTACTGGATACATCAACTGAAACTACACCCATTGTATGCTTTTCCAAAGTAAACTTGAGTTCACCTGTAGTGCCATCCCTATACGCGTCATGTTATTTTGATGTGAAATTGAAATAAACATCATACCAGCATTTGATCGTATTATCTTCTGATCCTGTAATGACTAAATTGGTATGACTAGACCAAGCAATATCCCAGATACCCTCAGAATGAGCTATAGATGCAAGTTAATTGTAAGAGCGTAACATTTGATCTTACCTTCATCAACGACAACAGTGGGAATATAGGTAGTAGGCTTGACATGACACGTATCAGTATACTCTTCTTCTTTTTTATTGCCTTACCATGATATAGAACTGACTGGAGAAATGTCTTTTTTAAATAAGTCAAATTTTAAAGAGCTGATTCAAAGTCAGTGATGACGCATCCTTTAGAGGATCATCAAAGAAATGGTTCAATACATGACTTAAACAAATCTATGGCTACTATGCAGAGAATGTTTATGATGATAGTCTTTTTAAGAGTCCATTTGCATGTCGCATATAAAGTGAAATAATGGATTGCCAATGGTAAGAATAAACATCTGGACGTTAAACCCAAAGATATCGGCAAACGATCAACATTTACTTGTATGAATTCATACAACTCATCTATTAAACCATGTTGTACACCAGATACAACACTTTTGCTAAAGGCTGATCAAAAGAAACGATACTGTATACCATCTAGGGTAAAGAGTCTATTCTACACACTCATGATTATTTCTAATTTTTATTTTTTCAAAAGAAGGAATTCCTTCCTAAATATGTTAGAATAATGTTAGTACAACTTGATCTGTAGTGTTCTTGCCAATATATATATATCATACCTTCACAATTCCAATTGTCTCTACAGCCAAAGGAATGTTCATCAACTCCGAGATGTCGGACGCCAGGGAAAAGCGCTTCATCATAAAACTATTATTGTTGTATATTTTTAGGATTGAAGAGAAAGAGGCCACATATGTTGCATTGTATTAATGATCAAACTAGTTTTCCTACAAAGATAGTGCATAAGACTTATAAATATAGCTTCAATAAATACTTGGAATAAATTATATGGAATTTTATTTTTTGAATTTTGTAACAAAAGATGGCTTCATCAAATTGCTCATCTTTTCAACTTCTTCCTTGGTTCTTTCTTGGTACTTTGCCTTGAATGAGGCAAACTCATTCTATATAAGTTTAAAGGATGTTATTACTACTCACTCAATAGTATTTGTTAATATGTAATATACCTTGACGGCGCCAATGGCTTCAACAATTAATGGTGTATTCATTAATTCTGAGCTGTTGCTAACCAAGGAGAAGCGTTTGATCATAACAGGCATATAAACGCCTTCTGCCTTTAGGCTCATTCTATAAAGGGAGCAGTGAAAACCTAAAACAAAAATATGTAGAGGATGAAGTGAGCACATCACCCTATTTATAATGTAAGTATTATTGAACTGGTGTTTACCTTCACAAAGTAAGCCAAAGGAAATGGGATTTTTCATTCCCAACAAGAGTTGACGATCCAAGGATGTCTTGAGTTGCTTCAGAAGCTTGACAAAATCGTCTTCCTCTTGATACTTGCTTTGCTTGTTTGGACGCTTTACTTCAACAAAAAAGAAGTAAACTTCTCTCTTGCGGTTTTTTAAGCCTAATTGGAAGTCTGGCTTGCAACTGCGACCTTCTTCAGTAACGTCAACCCTAAAAGAAAAAGAAAACATGAATTAAGTTTACTAATATAACTATGCACACCTTCTCTACCGATACTTACACAGAAAAAACAGTATCTTCATCAGCCCCGTCTAGGAGCATCATTTGAAGAACTGGCCACAAGAACTTCATTGTGAAGCTGGCCTCTGACCTGTCATTAGCCATGGCGGAGCCAGTAAAGAAACTCTTAGCCAACTCAACCACAGCGTCATCGAGATCAGAGGTAGCCGCAAAGGATGGTTGAATATCCTCCTCCTAATTGTTCAATTTATGATTAATTAATGAATCATTTTCATATCATTCTAACTTACATCAATGAGCTGCTTGCAGTAAAGTACTGCCAGGCCTGAAACTTTGGGTAGTTGAATACCCTTATAAGCTTCTCTTTCCAAAGCAACAGCTACTTCCTCTTCCAAGTAGCTGGAGATGCAATTGACGCTGTCGAATTTGTTGACAGGAAAAATAAAAGACAAGCCCCTATATGTATGTAATTCACTTTGAGTATACTATGCGCTTTTAAAAGGTTAAAGAACTTACAAGATTCGTATGGGCGTGAGATCCCTCTTTTTTTCAGCGGCACTAATACTTTTTCTTCTAAACCTGGCTAAACTTGAGGATATGTTAACATCCTCAATAATAAGCTAGGGAACATGAAAAATTAGCATGAGGTCAAATGCAAAGTATACGTGTACTTACGGGATTTTGAATTTCCCATTTCTTTTGGCCATTCCCGTTAAAATAAGTAAGCTTCCGCCTTCTCTTTACTTCAGGAATAGACAATGAAGAGTCTATATCCACGGAACCTACACGGTAACAGTTAGTTTTCAATCATGATTTTTTTTAAAGAAATTTTACTTTCACGTTCGCGTTTAATAGTTTGGTTATTGTAAGAGATATAGATATTCTTGATAGCGTTAAAAGTATTAATTGAATTCGACATAAGGAAATAGAAAAGAACTAGGTGAAGAAAATAGGTTGAGTTACTAAAAAAAAAAAAAAAATTTGGCCTGATAAAATATCTTCTTCACCTGTATAATCAACATCGGACATCAAAAATCAGGTTTCTTTTTGTATTATTTGGATTCACATGCTTTTGTTTATGCTATCTGAATCTACCTACTTTTACTCACTTCATAATGATTACTTTCTGCCCTATCTGAATAAAGCGAACTTAAGCTTGACCATGAACATTTTGAAATCCTTCATCAACTCAACATTTCAACACGAATAAAGATTTAGTCTTCTTTTACGCGAAGCTATTAAACAGACCCTTTAACGCCTTTATGCATTTTGATGACATGTTTCTATTAGATTACGAAACGTCTATTACATATATGCATATAACAAAAAGTTACTTTTCTTTTCGGATTCAAACTAATCTTACAAAATACAATGAACTTTCTCTCTAAACCCCGACCGTGATTTCCTCCATTCGTAGTGGAAAGGCTGCGGCACCATATTTTTTTTTTCTGCGTGTCTTTTTCTTATGCTAGACTTTATTCCCTTCATTCCAGAAAACACTCAAGGTGTTCAAAACGAACTGTATAAAGTAGCTCTGTCTACTTGGCAACATGGACTTGCTCAGCTATTAAATATGAAAGACGACGCTTTTTTACTCGAAACAACGTCCAATACGTCTCTTGTAGACTTTATTGATAGTGTATTAAGCGAACACATGGACAGTACTGGTGTAGATACCGTTTTGCTCAAATACATCTTTTTGTTATATACTCGTCTTGCTTTGCTTGACAGCACACACCATCCATTAGTCAATATCAACAAACTCTGTAGTTTTATCGTTGTCTATATCGAATCCAATACCAATCAAGTGCAAAGTATAGTAGAGAACTTGGTCAAAAACAACAGCCAATTGCAAGACAGCTTGATATCGACCATTAGCATGCTGGTGGATACAGTGCAAGGATTACCTAATATGATGGCAGTGCCTGTCTCTATTGACACATTAGACCGTGCTTATGTTCTCCTTCGTGTCTTGGATGCATTGATCCTATCCGCCCTCTTTATTGACACTGTTGTATGCTCCTTTGACAAAATAGACCAAACCTTGATGGACTGCTACAGTAGCTTAATTCCTCTCTTGAAACACACGGTTGAACACAATAAGACAACAGCACCTTATGCTTATTTGGTCAAAAAGACATTGGTCTCTTTATTCAATTCATTCGGAAACATTCATTTCTTTATCCCTCTTGGATTTGTCTCTGACTCAAGACAGAGTGAGATGGTAAGACTGAAGGATGCTGAGCCAGATGTATCTGCCATTGACACGTTATATGAAAAAATCCTGTATTATATTGAACAAAGTGGGCTTGATTCTTCACGGTCTGCTTTTATTGATGGTCCTCTTATTATGGACTGGGAAGTGGCGTATGATATTAGTACAAAACTCAAGTTTATCAATGACACTGCGTTTGATGGTTCAGAAGATCGACTTGAATTTTTAATGATGTCTATGGAACAAGTTAATGGTACCAATGATGGTACCGGTACTTGGGATGAAGGCCTTCAAGAAGATACAACAGAGGAAGAAGAGTTTGATGATACTTTATTAGTTCAAAAGATTTCTCAAATTCAAGAATTGTTTCCTGACCTCGGGGATGGGTTTATCGAAGCTTGTTTAGCAGCCAACAACAATAATGGCGACATTGTCGTCATGCAATTGCTTGAAGATACATTACCGCCTTCTGTGCAACATTTGGATCGATCCATGACACGATTCATTCAAGAAAGACCTAAAGAAAAAAGCATCTTGGCTTCAAGACATAATATTTACGACAATGATGAATTTGACGTGTTTGCTCATCGTACAGTTGACACTTCCAAGATATACGAAGGCAAGAAAGACAAAGGCGATGCAGACACTTTATTGGACGATAAGAGTTTTATTCAGGACGCAAAGAAGAATGTGTTGCAACGTGTGGTTGACATGTATGATGATGAATATGATGATACGTATGACGATATTAATGATGCTGGTGTGCCTACAGCAGATGTGGATGGTGATTCTGCTGTGGATGTATTGAAGAAGAGACAACACATAGAAGACCCAGGTGTACAGAATGAGAGTTTACTTATCCACACATTTGTTGAGAGGCCCGACGTGTTTAACCGTAAAAGCAGTGTTCGAAAATCTAAAGATAGAGCTGCTTTAAGACGACAGACAGGCATGAGTCATGAACAGATAGAAGGTTGGGCTATTATGTTTAATCGAAACGTAAGTCAACGCACTTGATTTCTATAGTATGCTCACCATTACAATAGCCTCGAAAACAAAGAATTTTAGACAAGTACATGTTGTTTGATGGTAAACAAGAACAAGTGTCTGAGAATGCTAGTCAGACACAACAGAAAAAACCTCCTGTATCAGAAGCAAGAGACCGTGCTTACAAGGACAAAAACAAAGCTCGATATGGTAATCATAACCGTAAAGCAGGCAGAGATAAAAAGATAGCCAAGGCTGGTCCTCCACCTTCATAGAATAGATGAAATAAACTTTTTTGGGGAGCGCAACTCCTTTTTTTTTTTTTCCTGTTTCATGTTATGTGATGAGAATGGGCTAAACCCTCATCCTATAAAGTTTGAATACAAGATGTTCCTTGCATATGTTCTTTAGCGTTACTAAAATAAGCCAATGCCAAAAATCATGCAATATGCCAAAAATAGGATAACCCAAAAAAAAATCGCAGCATAATGTTCGGTTGCTCAAATGAGATGGTTCAATGATTAGTATAAACTTTCTTGTATATTTTTTTTTTCGCATGCACATACATAAACAAAGGAGCGTACCCCACATACGAGCTAATGTGAGAAACACTATTTTCCCTAGCAGCTTTTCTTGTTATGAGTCGGGATTATCTGGATCCAGTTTCTTGTGTCAATAATAGGTGCTGTCGTCAATTTTAGGATCTGATTAACAAAATGAATGATTTTTTCAAACTACAAGCTATCTCGAATCTCCGTTTAATTGCTGGGTATCTGATTTTTTTTAATACATACATGAATACATGCAAAGTGAAACTCATTTGGCTTATGTATCGGAACTAGAAGAATAAAGGATCTTTTTTATGCACTCGTTTATTCTATTATTTTGTACGACTCTCACGTTGAGAAATAAGGCGCAAGCTTGTTAAGCATGTCATCATGATTAAGTAAATGAGAGTCTAAAGCAATAAAAATCTCATCTGGATGTATAAGGAAGAGAGATAGTGAGCAGTGTATAAGACAAACACCATACACGAAAACACGTTCATGTTCTCACGCAAAGTAATTGGAAAGGGGCTATGGCACCAATATCACCTTTTTTTGATAGATTTGATAGTGATATGCTGTATTGGCCAAAAATCGCCTGATTATTCGACTGATTTTTTTCAGCGACAAGGGTTTCACCAACTGAAAATGGTAATAAAGTGCCACTCGAAATTAATTTATGCAAGCATTCAAAAGAGTATAAAAAGAAAGTGTGTTTACATCTTCATTCTTTATCTCTTAAATCAATTTTAATATATATCAAATGTCTGAAGAAACTTTTACTGCCTATGCTTGTGCCTCAAAGGGTAAGTTATTTCGTATACGTAATAAGCCAGAGAGACTGACAGTCAATTTAACATAGGTGCCAATCTCCAACCTATGGAAATGAGCTTTTGCCACTGGGACGAAGATATGGTTCAAATGGATATCATTTGTTGTGGTATCTGTGGTACTGATATTCACACCATCGATGAAGGTTGGGGACCTACCGATTTCCCATGTGTTGTTGGCCACGAAATCGTTGGTCGCGTCACCAAGGTCGGTAAGAATGTCTCTCGTATCAAGGTAGGCGATCGTTGTGGTGTTGGTTGTCAATCTGCCTCTTGTGGCCATTGTGATTACTGTAAGAAGGACATGGAAAACTTGTGTTCCACTCATTGTGTCTGGACTTTCAATGACCATTATGATAATGCTACCAAGGACAAGACTTATGGTGGCTTTGCTAAGAAGTGGAGAGGTAACCAAAACTTTGTCGTCAAGGTACCCGAACACGTCGAATCTGAAGTCGCTGCTTCTTTCCTCTGTGGTGGTGTGACCACCTTTGCTCCTCTTAAGCGTTATGGTGTTGGTAAGGGCTCCAAGGTTGCTGTGCTTGGTATGGGTGGTCTCGGCCATTTCGGTGTTCAATGGGCCAAGGCTATGGGCGCTGAAGTCGTTGCTTTTGACGTCATTCCCGATAAGGTGCACGATGCTAAGAAACTTGGCTGTGACGAATATGTTCTCATGCAAAAGGAAGAACAAATGGAACCTCACTACAACACCTTTACACATATTTTGGCCACCAAGATCGTGAACAAGTGTTGGGACCAATACTTCAAGATGCTCAAGAACAACGGTATCTTTATTCTCTGTGATATTCCCGAAGTTCCTCTTTCTGGTATGTCTGCCTTTGTCATGTGTGGTAAGCAAATCACCCTTGCTGGTTCCTTTATCGGTTCTCCTTCTGTCATTCAAGAATGTCTTGATTTCGCTGAAAAACATCAAATCAAGAGTTGGGTTAATACTTTCCCCATGGACAAGATTAATGATGCTATCCAATTTGTGCGTGATGGCAAGCCTCGTTACAGAGCTGTTGTTATGAACTAACCAAAAATACTCATTTGTAATATTTTCTCATCCAGTGCTTGTATAAAATTGTTATAATAAAAAAAAATAGTGTTCAATTTAATAATTTTTTTGTTTGAAATGATAATACATCGTTGCCTTTGTTTGAAAGCCATTGTCTCCAACTAGTATCATGATGTGTATAATTTACGGGAGATGCTCGGTATAAAACGTCTTCTGAACCAACAATGTAGTACATGTGGTAAGATTGTTGTTCAATCTTATATCTCAAATGGGACTTGACACAAATACGTTCGAAATGTCTATTTTCTGGGCACAAGTTTCTATACGCAATAGATGAGTAAAATATACACAACGTATTTTGACTTACCTGTTCAAGAATGAGGGTCTCAAGAGGGACACGTGAATTCCTTTCGTTGTCTGCATCCAATTAATATAACTAGACATGTATTCATCATAGCTTTCATTGCCTGGCTGGCTTGTTTTAGCTCTATCCAACAATTGAATACGCGCAATTTCTTTATCCTAAATCGCAAATGAGAATCATGACGTTATCATAGCTATGCAACTTACAAAATGAATCTGGTACAAATTTTCATCAGATCTCAATACATCTTCAATCAAATTACGATAAGCCGAAAATGCTGTATTGGACCTTTGTTTCTCGATATATTGCTTGAGCAAGTCGGTTGATTTTTTATCCATAGATACTATTTGAATCTATACAGAAGCCATGAGCTCAAGTATCGATAGTTGCAGATTTACCTGTTTAATTAAGGATTGCAATAGCTTGTCCACAGTAAACATGACATAAGCGTCAATACCACACACATAGCGAAGGTTCTCTTCAAATGTGTTTTGATCATATTCTCCTTCAAGGAACCGATCTATAATGTCTAGGGAAGCATGGTAGTGTCCTTTGGATAGATCAATATCTAACGCATTGGTTAGTCTTGGAGTTTCTTAAACATAACATACCATCAAACCGGTTAGAGACAAGATCAAGTTCAATGGCTGTCTTGTTGAGCTTTTTGCCTAAGTCTGGATTTGCCATGATTCTATCACTGAGTAACTTAAATTTCGACAGTCGCTCATAAAAGACTTGAAATAATCGGAACAAGCAATAATAGTTTGAATTACAGAGAAACGCATTGGTATGGTTCTTGTCATCAAAGATAGGTGCTGTGAAAGCGGCTGCCGTAGCAAACAAGTTCATCTGTGATTCTTGGCTCTTGTCTGACCGAGTGTCTTGATCATCCAGTGTATCTTCCGTATCTGATTCTTCCATGCTCGACGACCTATCTTCTCCCAACACAACATGAAAAAATAAGGAAACAAAAGAACGTACAAAATGCCGCACTTTCTGCTTATCACTTTTTGTAAATCCGTTCTGTCGATCAAGAAACAAAGAGATCAAACGAGCCATGTCTTTGAAAACGTTCAGCTCTTCGTAAGAAAAGGCGAGTCGGCGATCCTGAGCGCCTTCAATTTCAGCAATCAAGGCCTTGTTGGCAAGTGCCTTCTTATCATTTGCTTTGAAGCTGTTGCCTTGATAATCCAATGACTTATAAAAGTTTTTATCGTCTTGATCTCTCCAGACCTTGTTCCATTCTTTTTGAGCATTTCTCCATTCTTTGTCTTTAAATTCAAGTCGTTTTAACAAGACAGGTATAACACTTGCTGGTCTGTTGTAAAGCATTTGAATAATTTCAGTGCCTCTTTCATCATCATAGACTTTTTTGATGATCCTTTCGTAAATAGAGACGGTTTGTCCACCTAAGCCAGGTCTTAGTCGCATATTGTTCTTTTCTTCTGCTGACATCGATTCAATCTGTAAAGTAATGGGCTTTAATAGCGCAATTGTATTCAAATTGGCTTCGATATTCAGATCATAGTCATATCTAGTAAGATGAATAAGCAACTCTATCAGCTTATTCAAGTTACCTTTCTTCTTCGCAGCGATGAAGTGCTTCTTCGTAAGTATTTCTTTTAGATGCAATAAAAGCACTGTCTTCACTTGCCCAAATAGGATAGGATACATATTTATCATTCAATACTTCCCAACAGAGTTGATCTCTGCCTGAACAAGGCTGATATTGCCACTAAAGACAAACCTTAGAGTCCATATTTGTGCTTCATTATACTTACGTCTTTAGGCACTTCACGATAACTTGGACTTGATTGAATTGCCTTACAGTGGTTTAAATCAGGCTTGGGCACAGACACCATCGGCCTTTCAATCGGATGGTCCTTTGGATCATAGCCGATCACCAATGTAAATGCATCAAAAAGCTCTTTATTTGAACCGATAAATTTTTTTACTTGAGCTACCAGCATGTCCATATCAATAATTTGCTGTGTATACAAGTTGAGTAGCTTAAGGAATTCTTCATAAGAGGCTCGGCTGCCAATGTATTTCTTGGTTTTGTCAAACAAAGTGACTTCGTCCATAGACACGCTTGGGTTTTGTGGATCAAATGAACAAGATAAAGTAAATGTTTCTTCTTGTTCCTCATCATACATTCTTGGCTTCTTTGCCATCTAAGCCAGTGATGAGTGTTCTATCGAGACTATGGAATGACTTACGTGTGTCTTTTTCTTTTTAGTTGATGGTGTGGATGATATGGAATGAGTGCGTTTTAGTCCATGATGATGGTCAGGTTCATGTGTAATTTCAGGTAGAAATTGTTTGAATTCTTCCAGTAAATCATCAGCATCTTGAAATAGATATTGAATATGAGCATAGACCTAGTTACATTTAGTATATTGATCAAGCGCACTCTACTTGCCTCTCCTATTGGTTTTTGTTCTTTTTGGTATGTCTGTAGAATTTCCAAAAATTGTTTGTAAATTTCTGGATTATTCGCAAATCGATTCTAATTTTTTAAGTAAAACAGAGAACACTATATTTGTTTTACCTTAATTCGGTTCACATAATTAATAGCATAGTTGAATTCGACAGGTGGTCGCTTTTCTAGTGTGAAAGGAGAATGATGCGTATGTAAAGGAGACTCATTGGGTGGTGGTAAAGTAGTTGCAGGTGGAATATAATAGCCCTGTGCAAGTTCATGCTGTGTTGTCGTGGTGGATGTGACACTTCCATTGGGTGTAGTGACAATAATGCGGTTTGGGTCACGTGGATCAACCGAACATTCAATGCGATAACCAGAAGGCAAGAATGTATTAAAGCCCGAAATTAATGCAGGATGTCCTTTAAACAATGTAGAAACACGCTCAATGACACCTGGTGTATCAATACTAGAGAGAAAATGAGTACAATAGCATGACATAGTCGCTACTCACGCTTGACTTTTGAAATCCTTCATGATATCGAGGAATTGGTTGTAAATGTCAGGTTTATCAGAGAATTTGCTCTTGACTTGATCCAAATAAGCCAAGGCATCAATCACGTTTAATGGGCGATACCCACTTGCTGTATCGGGTTCTGGTGGTGTGTATGAATGCTTTAAGGCACCAGAAACAGACGGCGTCGGTGATAATAATGTTGATCTGGCATTCTTATTTGTTCTTTGGGAACTGTTGGTATTTGCCGTCACTAGACCAGCAGGACTGTAATTTGTGGGAAAACTGGCTAAATTACATTGATAAGATGAGTGAAAAGAAGGCAATAATGGTGGTTCTTGAGACGAGTTTAAACTTGCTAGACGGTGATGACCATAAGGTGAAAGTGGTAAAGAAGAAGACGGTCTTGAAAACAGTAAGCACGATATATTTAATTTTAGATTACCTTACCTTGTATCTGGCTGGCTGGATATAGTCATGTCTGTTATGTAGAGAAAAAAAAAGAAAAAAGAAGCAAAGCCTATAGTTGGCTTTAACCCCCTTTTTTCGGAAGTTCAAACTAGAATAGACTTTACATGATCTTGCCCCTCTTTTTTTTCTATGAAATAACAATAATATTGGATCACAGCTATAGTGGTGTAGACCTAAAGATTTCATAACCTATCAAAATAAGAGCAGTTGTAGATATTAGCATTATAATAAATTTATTGTTTCTTTTTAAATAACTTTTACTACTGATATTTCTTGGAGAGATATGTTGTATCAAAGCTACACCGACAATCATGAAAAAGAAATTCAAGGTAAAAAAGAGTTCGAAAATGAGTATAATCATGCTAGGAGAGTGTATGTTTCCATGTCAAACACAAAACGATCTGACGATACCTCAATACATTGTATTCCTTTTCGAGGATTCTTAAAAGGAGATGCTCGTTTCTTATTATTTTCTGTTTTTATGCATGAAAACCTATTAATGAGTGATATCAAGTCAGATCCGTATGCCAATTTAAGCTGGATTATGCCCAGGACACACGAATACTTTAACTTGAAAGGTCGTTTCTATATTGCATCTGCACCTATTCAAATCACACGCTTTCCGCCACCCAAAATAACAAAGGAAAATGCAAGTGGTTATTGGGAACAAGAGCGCTTGAGGCAATGGTCTTTATTAGATCATCAACTAAGGGCGACATTTACTTGGCCATCAAGAACAGAAGTAATTGATAATAAGTCATTACTTTGTCAGTCACTCCCTTATGATAAAAGCTGTTTATTGATTGATATTGCTATGGATAACTTTTGTCTGCTAGTTTATAAAGTAACAGAGGCAGAGTACCTTGATTACTCTATCTTTCCACCTAAAAGAATGGTATGTCCACACAAAAAAAAAACTACGTTATTTATTTCTTCTCTTGTTGGTTTATTCTTGTTCTACCAAGACAAATTCATGGAATACGATTGTGTTCAATTATTAATTTATATTGTGAATAAAAACGCATTGACCTTTTTACTATTGGTTGAGATTGAATTTAATTCAGAAACCAATTGATTCCAATTTAACTCTTTTTTTAGGTATATCAATACCACTACTTATGAGTTCATAACTTATGGCCGCACATTCAGCAAGCATTTAAACAACCCCCTCTACTTAAATAAGCTTTGATCAGTACATCCACATACCATCTTAATAAATATCATTCTAACTTTAAGAAAAAAAACCAAAATCAGGCTTTTTGTTCATATTGAGATGATTTATGGTGCAAGATTTATCACTGTATCTCTCTGTATTTCATTATATGCCGGTGGAGGCAATTCAGATTCTTCAAATGGATTGAAAGACGACACATCATCTGCTAAGGTAAAGGAAACTGAGTATACTAGTATTTCAAAAAAAAAAACAGTACATACCTTGATTTGAATAGTTAGATTGTTGGGGAATGGGTGGAGTAGGTCTATTGCGATTTGAACCTATAGGCAGTGAGGCAGTTCTGCTGTTTGGAGTATTGTCTAATGAATTTGCATCAAGATCTGCTCTTGATTCCAACGAATATCACTTACTGTCAGTACTTGGTCTTCTTGTCGGTAGCTCTGGAGGGCTCAATGTATTGTTGCTTTGTCTATTGTGATTTGAATGATAGGTACGATGAATTACTAGTACAATTAGATCAAGACAAAAGCAGAATTATTCCATACTTCGCGAGGAATAGTTGACATTGGGTGTACTGACAGAATGATGTAAACTGGATCTTGTTTCTTGAGTATCTCTTCTATATAAAAAGTCTGTTTAATAATAATAAAAAAGGTGATAAAAGGAAACAGGAATTACCTTTGTCCTTGTACTGTTCATAAGAAAGAAACAAAAGGTGGTTAAATCTTGAAAATAACAACACATACTATACCGTTATGGTCTATGTATAAAAAATGTTACTATCTAAATTCATTTGATTTGTTAAACTTCACCTGAATGTCGAGAAAGCGTTGATTTAAATAAGCCTATAACAATCATCAATTCACCTTGTTTTTATCATGATGCCTTTACCTAAACTTGGAGTGGATAATCTACTATTATGTTGAGAGTTTCTTGATCTTTGAAGGCTTTGCTCTCGGAGATCTTGGCGCCATTGGGCTAATTCTTGTCTCACTGTCAAAGGCTTGGCATCATGTTGCTATTGGTAAATGATATGTTAGCAAGACAAGTCTGGTAAAATATACTTGCAAGAAAAGGGTTTATTTCCCTATTTGAGTCTGTATGGAATGGATTCAAATTATCCTATAGAAATATCAATACAAAAATACAAACATTAACTGTATACATTGTTATTTCTTGCAGGAAGAGGTGGTTTGGAAGCACTCTCTTGGTTTTCATTGTTCATAACGAGAAGTAACTCAAACACTTGATTCACATCGTCTTGAGCAGTTATAAGTAAGTCCTCAATCACAGAGAGATCAAAAGAGGGAAAGGCTTCTTTTAATAGCTCGAGATTGGTTTGACGAAAAGGGTTATTGGATACCATTCAATAAGAGAAAAGAAAAGAAAAAAATTAAAATTGAAAAAGAAAACTATGCCTTTATACAATTATTATGTAATACAGACGACTTATGCAGAGACTTATATTTTGATACAATTGTTTATTAATTACATATAACGAAGACCAGCAAAGAAACCAACTAAAAATGTTGATTTGAATTGAATATTACTAGTCAAGAAATTAACGAAGTTTTGCCACTTGGAACTAAGGTCGCGTCGAGTGACTCTGCCATCCTTATCTGTATCAAAAGTGCTGTTGTATCTTCCCTCTAATCTATCCCAGTGAACAGTAACATATCCTTGTTGTGATAAATACTATTTTTTTTTTCTCTAGAGTCAACATTCTTTCTCTTTTTCATGACATTACCTGTAAAAACACAAAACCAGTACCAATAAAAGCAGCAAAAAGCTTGCCTACTTTCTTAACAAGAAAACCTGTACAAAGACCAAGGAAAGTACCAAAGGTAAGTTCTCCTCGGTTAAAAATGGATTTTTGACCTTTTGTTTGATGGATAGCATCCATAACAGGTGTAGGTTCGTGTACATAAGCAGCTGCTTTCAAAAGTCAACATGCATATTTTCAAGTGATTATTTACCTTGGCATTGAGCAGGCTTCTTGAACAACAAAGGTGTAGCCATAGTACCAGCAGTAGCTAAAGCAATGATTTTAGAAGCACCCAAAGGCTTGTTTTCAATCGCATGTTTAACAGGCATGGTATGGATTTCTAATGCATAATCAATAAATACCGTGTTGCATAATCATCATCAACACATACGCTTCGTAGTCATAAGAGACCTTGTTTGAATTGATTTGAGAGGTTGGCGACTACATGCCTTCAAAGTGTTTACAGTTCTTGGTAGACGAAGCATTGTTTTTTTTGGAAGAAAAGGAGAGAAAAAAGACAAACGACAGGGTATTTTAAATCGACTAAATTTCCCGCGCACCAATGTTTTATTCTTTGAATGACGAAGCTACACAGCCAGTCATTTTTAGTTTGTGGTTTATATACACTATATTGGGTTTAATGTATTTTGTGAGCTGTTGAGTCTCTCATTTCTGAACTGTGTTTAAAAATACCTTTTCTCTTCAATGTGTTCCGCCTCCCTATTTTTAAATGCAGTAAGATCATTGTCGATTTTGAATAATGTATAGGACATGCATTTATCACATCGATAAAGCATTTGACAGCCCTTATCAGATTCAATAGGTGACTATAACAAATGAACTAGTTTTTGAAAACGAAATTATTACGCTTTTTGCAAGTTTGACGCCATTTAGATATTGAATCATAATTAGCCCTAAACCAGTTTGTTTGCGATCAATTGAAACTGCTCTTTTGGGGGAATAAGGCAGATAACGTACCATTATGAACTATAACGTGTACCAGCTATCTCTTGTGTGAAGAATAATATATATCAATATAATTGACTTGCCAATAGCTATTGACTGATGTACAATAAGTCTTAATTCTAAACCATTGTATATGAGTACCATATAGCTTAGAGCAGAACAGCAAGCCAAACTTTCATTTATGCAATTTATTTCACAATTTTTCGTAGAAATGTATACATCTCAATAGATTTGGTATCAAGCGAAATAGCCCAAAAGACATGTGATGATTAGGGCTTTTCCTTCACTTTCACATTTTTCATGATATATAAAATGTAGCCTTTAGAAAATACATCAAATATGGTAAAGACTTCCTTATATTCATAAATCTCAATTTGATTACTCAAATTTTGTTACTGTAGAAAGTTTATTTAATTAAAAAGACATAATATCATTTGTATGATCTAATGAAATCATCGAGATATTCTCTTGAGAAAAGCCCTTAATCATCAATGGGTACTTCTTCACCTAATTCAAAATGTTTATTTTTGTTTGCTATAAGTCTTCATAGCCTATTTCTTTAACTGGTGTTTTTAATTCGACTATGATAGCCATTGAGATTTATATGTACATCATTTGTTTTCGGTTTTCCGTCGTCTTTATCAGATTTAATTTGCCAGTTGTCAAAATTAATAAGCTATTTATTTGGCAATAAATTACAACATATCCATAGACTTTTACCTCATTAAGAGGTTATCGTTAGCAGTAAAAGGTTTGCATCTATAGCAAGAATACTACATTGTAATCATAATTTAGATAATCCAGACGCTTCCGCCGATTGTAGTCTTCCTCTTGTCCTTGTCCTTTCTCTCTTCTCTTTTGCCATATTATTATTATTAACGGTCGTCTTTATTGCTTGATTTCTGTATTACTCTCTCTTTCTACTTGAATCTCCTACTTTTTGACATGATCATCTTCATGCAGGATGTTTTTATTTATCAGAATAGTCTTACAATTAAGTTAGGTTTGTTTTATTACAAATCGAATTTCTTTATCTTAACGAGTTCATTATGACTCGTATTTTTCTACATTAGAACTAGTAATTATTTTCTCAATGAACGAGTATATGAACTATTCAAATTATTCTTCAATAAAGATCAGAATTTTTCTCACTTTACTTTACTTTTACTTCAATTGTTTGGGTTATTTATTAGGGAGTTGGCATTGGCTTAGATACTTGTTTTTGTCTATTTAACTTCCTAGATATTGGCATAGTAAGGTCGTTTATTTTATTATTTCTATTTGATCTTTTATTTCAAACCATTTACTTAAAGGTTCGCTACCTTAACAACGTGGTGGTCATTACATACCATTGCTTTTTGCTTTGGATTCTATTGTATAATCTCCTCTATACGTTACTGGTATAACAAAAATCAAACCTGGTCCCGTAACACTCTTTTATATTCTGACAAAATGACTATTTCATACTCTATTTTTCTACTCAAATTTGAATTCCCTATTATTCAACTCTAAATTCTGACAGCTACCTGTGTCACAGAATGCTTATTCTTTTACTTTGAATCTCAATTATTGTATTACTCTATATCACATTAGATTTTAGCACATATTGCTCATTTTACCTTTAGTCAGCAAAGTCTTGACATATCGTATCATTTTTACAATGACTCATAAATTTATTATACTTGGACTGTCATGAGTGCACTTTTGCAAGTCCAACATGACTATTTTAGAATAAATATAGAACAAATTCAACTTAAGTAAAGGCATCCTTAACCTATCTTAGACTTACAATTGTACCTTGTATTGCCTTATACTTTAAACTTGACTGTTTCATATCATTTGTCTAATCGGATCCTTGGATCTTGCATTATATACGATCATTGTACTTTATATTATATTAGATCTTGTATCTCTTTACTTATACAAATTACATAGTCGGACGAATTAGAACCTGGTACACCTGGTACTCATTACATATAACTTGCTGCCTATTGCTCTGTTATATTTATTGTTCTATGTTTCTACAAGTTACTGCGATCTTTTACCTTGTCCTGTAACAATATTTCAGTTTCGTCTATTTTTGTTTTTATAAGAAATAGGTGTAATACTAGCTTCGATATGCAAAAAGAAAAAAAATGATTAGATACACCAACTCTGATGAGAAAAAGTAGCATCAGTCCGTTTCGATCGGACGACCTCAGGGTTATGAGCCCTGCGCGCTTCCTGCTGCGCCATGATGCTCTTCTATGATTGTCGATTTGATATTTTACTTAGGTTTGTATTCTTATAGTCAAGTCACGAGACAATAGAACGTTTCTTAGCCAATAGATTCACTGGGAAATATTCTGGAAATAACGTGACGTCACAGAAAGGAACTGTGTATTGATACAGTAAGTATAAGATCTTTATTTATAATAAATGTAATGTTACCTGTGTATTGATACAGTAAGTATAAGATGAAGAACTTACAAGTATCAATAACACAGTATTTATATGTTTTCTAATTGTACTAAAATATATAAACTATAACATATGGAGAAGGAAGTAATTAAATACTTAAAGCTGATTGATGTTTCTGTCTTGACGAATCTAAAGTGTGCTTGGCTTTACTAATGCGAATCAAGTTGAGGCGGACTTTCTTTCTTCTTTTGTTCAGTACTTGTGGTTTAAACCTTCGTTTGTTCGGATTATAGTTTGTTGGAAGGTTATATTCAACTTCAATTGGCTGTTTCTTACTGGAATCGCTATTTTCTGTGACATTACCCCCCTCCTGGCTTGATGTTCGTCTCTGAACATTAGAAGCTTGGTTAGAAGGAGGTACTGTAAATGAGGAGCAAGGAGCAGACGCGTCTTGAATACCAGACAAAACCGACATCGGATTGGTAGTAGAATTTGTAAAAGAGTCATCCACGTCCTCAGCATCGTCAACATCAATGTCAATGTTAAACTCGGAATCAGGTAGATCTAACGAATTAGGTGCAGAGTCTGTGAGGATTTCCTGAGCGTCGACAAATTCGTCATTGGCAATAGATATTGGTTCAGTAGTATCTATGGCGAAATCGCAAGGAGGTGCAGAGACAGAAAGCATCTGTGAATTGTTTGTAGTAGGTAGGACATTGTCGTGTTTAATGTCCAAAGGGGACTCATCACTTGTTATAACAGGTTCAGCTGCCAGTTTCGAGACAGGAGAAGATACCTTTAACGAAGAATGGCTTTGATTGTATATGGTAGGAGACATAGCTTGGTCAGGTAAATCCAAGGTCGGCAAGAATGGTGAGTTTGAGTCGTATACCTGTGTACCAGTTGCATTTTCTATGCGTGGTGTCGAACTAATAGGAGTGATTATTGTGCTAGTTGAGTCAATGATAGGTATGGAGTCATTTGTATCAACAGGATCAACATGGTCAATACTGGGATCAACTTCATCAGCCGTAGGTTCAGGAATGGTAGCAGTTGCATCGATAGGTGTCTCTTCAATTATGTCATTTGTGGCCAATTGAGGGGGAATAGATGGTACCACCGCTGAACGTCCAATGTTTGTCATGACAGAACGCCATTCTTGTCGAGCAGTTGTAGGGTCATACCAGGGTTCAGAAGATGAATGTCCATTAGCTAAGCGCAATCGATCTATGTGGACCAATGATTTTAACGGCTCACCCGCTAAAGTTTGTAGCTTGTATGTACCGAAATCAGGGAAAGATTGAACAATAATGTAGGGTCCTTTGTAATGTGGTTCTAGTCCATAACGGCCTTCATGCGTGAGAACCACTTTATCGCCAACTTCGAACGCAACCTTCTTGATCTGAGCGTCCCATCTCTCCTTGTCTTTGTCAGCCATAGCTTTCATTCGGAATTCTGCGGCTGCACGGTGTTGACCCAAATCTGCTAATTCCCTTGAAGTCAAATCAGCGATTGTTCGTTCATCAGCAAATGTCTTTTTATCAAGATAAGGCACTAATGGGTCGCCGGGTAGTCTTGGTTCTCGGCCATAAGTTAAGAAGAAAGGACTGTAACCGGTAGTCGAGTGTACTCGTATTCTTGAAGCCCAAAGAGCCGCGTTAACAAAATCATCCCAACGATGCAGTGCGCCGTTCACATATTTTCTAAGCATGCCCTTTATCACAGCATTGAAGCGTTCCACCTTAGAATTAGTACGAGGATGGTAGGCAGAGGTTAGTTTATGATGGGCACCTACTCTTTTCAGGTAAGCGTTGACCAATTCGCTGTTAAAGTTGGAACCTCGATCCGTCAATACCTCAGAGGGGCAACCAAAACGCATCATGATTTCTTCGTAGATGAAATCGGCAACAGCTTCCTTAGTGGCGGCAGGTACGGCACGGGCAATTGGCCAGTTAGTTGCATAGTCAACAGCGACTAATAACCAACGGTTTCCTTTTACGGTCAAAGGTAGTTCGCCAATGAAGTCTAGGTGCCATCGGTCAAAGGCAGTAGGTATCTTTAAGGGGTGCATAACGTCATGGTGGGTATGGCTAGGTCGGCTGTTGACTTGACATGCAGGACATGTTTTCAACCAATCTTTCAAATCACGTTTCATACTTGGCCACCAAAAACGAGGTGTAAAAAGCTTAACCATGGTT